TATCTAGACAGAAGCTTTATTACATATGAGCACCTACCACAATAAGGAGTTGCACAACAAAATAAGTAGGGCAGGAAATTCTCAGTGAAGTGGATATAATTCACGTGCAGGAAGATTTATTTAAGCAATTCAGTCTTGGCAAAAGGAGGAAGCAAAAGCAGAAAGGTATCAGTGGCCTTGCRTTTTAGTCAGCTGCTGTACATGTTCATTTTTAGGCTGGCATGAAGAGGGTGCAACTTTGGTCATCTCATTGGTGATCCATATGATCACAAAAAGAAAGTTGGATAACGCAATGTATAAAAAGTATCTTGGAATACTAAAGCAAAGGTTTCAAAGCCTCCCCACCAGGACAAAAGCAAGGTCTTTGCCCCCAGCCTGGTCAGTRAATCTGAGCAGTGCTGCTGCCCTGCAGGATGGCAGCCAGGACCTGTCACTGATCCAGCACTKTGCACYCRCAGGGCTCTCAACCCRACAGCCAGAGCTTTCACAAAAGGTTTTGCACATCTACAGACCCTGTTCTTTACCTTGTACGGGGGTACCCAGGTAACTGTATGGAATTGAGGCTGACTGGCTGTTGTGCTCTGACCTAGTGTTTAAACACATGCTGTAACTTAATTGCCTTGAAAATGAGTGCCAGGCTGGTACCAAGATGGTCTGCTGCACTCTGGCCTTTGGTTTTCTGCCTCTCTTCTCTCCACACTTGCTTAACACCACTATCTTTAGCCTTTTGTCTGGGCTTTATGCAGAACTTCAGAGCAGCATGACAATAGTCATGTAGAAAACCCTGGCAGCTCTGAAGGGCACTGAAGCAGACACCGCATGGTTTTTGGAGGACAYTCCTGGCCGGCCAAGGCGGGAACTGAAAAGAGGCACTTCATTGCTGGACTCTATGGGTTGGGAACTGTCTCTCATTCCTCTRTGCAGTGCTGAAGTAGGGAAGGGAGAGAAGGACAACAGGTATTAAGCTGCCGATGCTGTGGAGAACAGTAAGTGGCAAAATTCCATTGAAGCAAACTAAAAATACTWTGGACACGGCTAGAAAAAAACTTAACGGAAGAGAGTTTTCTGAGAGTAAAGGACTGGAGAGGTACAACTGGACCACTAACAGGGATTTTGCCTCTTTCTGGGTATACAGTGGTTGCCAAGAACTGTGGAAAAAACCCTCAGTCACTTATCAGTCCAAGGATGTCTCAAATGATCAGTACCATACAGGTGTTCTAAAAGTGTAGTGTGCAAGGGGCCATTCAGAGCAGATCAGAAAGGTAGAAGGTACTGCTGAGACCCTACTGCAGCCCAGGGTGCAGCTCCAAACCTCCAGGGGTCCTCCCCTGGAAGGTGAATGTACAGGAACGGGAAAGGGTTCAGGAACAAGATCAGAAAATGCACACTGTAAAAGGGCTTGGTCATTCAAATAGCTGAGTCTGTATAAGAATGTGAACACCAGAGAACCAGAGAATCCAAATATTAAACTAAACAATATCAAACTAGAGTATTACTACAGGAACAAACAGGTATAAACTGTTGATATATATTTAAAGTTGTAGATTAAAAGCTCTTAATCCCCAGCAAAGAGGAGCTGGACACAGCCTTTTTCTGCCTGGCAGAGTGGGGTGAGATTCCCTATGGGCCCCAAGCCAGCGCTGAGTGTGGGTGGGGTTGTGTGAGGGCTTGTCTGTGATCGCAGCGGATACCCCGTGGCCTGGACAGCCCCTTTTCAATCTTGTATTGCTAGGAGAGAAATTATGCAAAAGGGATTTTTAGACTGTTGTTATTMATTCACTGGACATAGCTATGCATTAATTCAGTTTGCCGGGCAAGCTGCCGTCTTCACCCATGTCACTTCCACACCCGTCACAAAAGTTACTTGGAAACAGCCTGTGCTCCCATTGGATTTCCGTGCCGCCGGTGCTGTGCATTACGAGGAATTGATTTTTTGGCCGCCAGCCACATTTGGATGAAACCTCTCTGGTTTACTTTCTTCCTCACAGTGAGCAGCAGGAACCACARAGGATGGCGGGCAGCCCCGAAATGTCTCCCTGCAAACCCAGAGGAGAAGCAAGCAGCCTYCAGCTGTTGTTCCACGCTGCGCTTGGGCGCTGGCGGCACCCGCAGCCCTCAGAGCCGCTCCCGCCGGGGCCGTGAGGGGMAGGCGCGGCCGGGGCGGGCCCCGCGGGACTACAGTTCCCAGCAGCCCCCGCGCCGCCCGGCGGCCTGTCCTGCTGAGGGGAGCGGGCTTTGCCTCGGGCCCGAGAGCTCTGAAACATTCGGCCCTTGTTGGCAAAGAAATAAGTGTTTTATACAGAGATAGATCCATTCTACTTTGCATAAGGCCAGCTTATGGAGAGGGGCTTCACTCAGYGTGGAACCACACTGGTCCTGTGTTGCTCACTTAACTTCCCCAATGCACGAATTTAACCATGTTTTTACCCAAGATATTGGAATAAAGAAGGGTCAAAGGGCTTTATTTAGCCCTGAGGAGCTGAAATTCAGTACCCTCTGCACAGCTAACAGGGTGCTATGCTCTCCTTTGCCACAGACGCAGTGCATTTTGTCTTCTACTGTTTCGTTGCCAGGGACAAAACAAAAAGGATAGCTTTTCAGTAGGAAACTGGCATTTTTCATTACCCAGAAAATAGGGTCCACTGGTGTTCGATACCTGCACCAACCTGCGTGTCTCCCCTTGTGTGATAGTAGAAGTTCAGACAAAAACAGGACTTACCCCTTAACCTGGGTCTGTTTGGTCTCACTTGATTTCCTGCATGGCTTGGAAACATTTGGGGTCTTTTTTTGCCAGAAGTGGGATGCAAATAGTCAAGCAAAAGGCTAATTCATTTTTCTTCTTTATCTCCCTCCAGACATAATTTCATTATAATTAAATTATCTTACCCCAATGAATGAGAATACAAGCTGCAGATCATATTCCACACTGAATTTTTCCACAACCCATTTCCTTAAAATTCCTCTCTTGGCTGTTCAAGGTCCTCTAGAAGGAATGCATGCACTGTGGGAGCCTCACTTCAAATACTCAAAGGAWTAACTGAAGAACATGATGAAAGGGAGAGTGTGAGTAAAATAGCTCGTTTATATTTGTATCCTCAAATGTCAGTTCATTACCAAAGTTAGAAACCAGCTGATGCAGAAAACTCATTATGGCTTCATTTAGAATATTTATTTCTTGAGAGACAGAAAAGAATTGCCTTACTCGGCTCACTTGTCCAACACAAATATGCCACGTTTTACAGAATGCTTTGGGACTGGAAGAGGGTGTTCTTTAGGGCACAGTACACTTAATACTCTATTTATCTTGCTTATCTGCATTTATTTAAATCCCAAAGCAGCGAGGATTGCTATTGCCCTCTGTTCTCAATGCTTCTGTCGATACTTGAGCCCTGTTACTTGCAAAGCKTCTGTGAGCTTTGGTTAATTATCTGACAGCACATAAGTCAGACAAAATGAAGTGGTTGGGGAAGTCGTGTCTACAGTCCTTTGAAAGTCCACTTTTCTGGTAATTTTAGTGCTTGTAACTGTGTCCAGTTAGCAGTTAGGTGACCTGGATCTCCATGCAGCCAGGGTACAGTAAGCTTTGTCTAGGAGTGAGATGGATGAGCAGTGCCTGGGACAGCCCCATGTGCCCACTCTGGGCCAAGCAGGCTCTGCTTGTCCGTGCCAGCTGGGCACTCGTGTCACAGCTCTTTGGCAATTACCTGTGCAAATCCCCAAGTAATTTGTAATGTCCCCTTTGCCTTGCAGCAAACAGCAAGAGCTTGGTTGAGTGGCGTGACTCAGAAGTATATTTTTCAAATTTACAACAAATTTGAAGTAAGCCAGCCTGTTAAGAATAGTCAAAAGGTCACAGCATCTGAGTAGTAGTTGGGATGCAGCCCTGGCTGCAAAGCCCATGCGTGAAGAAGGCAGGGTGTGTTTATATTTCTTGCTTGATTTCCCTTGCACTGAGAGTGCATTCATGTAATGCTTCTATGTCATTAGAAAACATCAGGATTCAAGGAAACACTGAAGAAATTGAAAAACAATGTAAAAAGAAGTGTTGCCAAAAAAAACTTGACAACTTTTATATTAAACTCTGTGGGTAAGATTTTAGTGCCGGTAGACTTAGTCCTATTTGTAGGCTCTATGAGTTATATCTTTTTGTACAGTACATCCCGCGAGGTAGGGTCCCCTTGGGCAATAAAATCTGGAGCTTAAACGAGTAAGATCTGTAGACTCAGTGCCTCCATGTCCTCTCTTTCCCCGGTGCTGGCGGTGGCACGGTGGGGGTGACTCGGTTGTGCTGTCCTTGGTCACTCCTCTTTSCCATCACCCCGAGCCTGCAGTTGCACGAGTTCCACAGAAAGCCAAGTTTCTGCTGCTCACATGAGCCTTGACGAACACATTCCGGGAATTAATTTTTGTAACTTTATCAATTTTCCGAGATCTGGCGACTCCTATTTCCTACCTAGTAGAAAATTTCCTCGGTTCCTTCAATACCTATCTGAGATTTGTTTCCTTTGCGTTACCTCACGCACCCCGCTTGGTACGAGGAATAGAAATGTCCACAAGGTTTGTAACTTTATCAATTTATCGAGATCTGATGACTCCTATTTCCTACCTAGTAGAAAATTTCCTCGGTTCCTTCAATACCTATCTGAGATTTGTTTCCTTTGCGTTACCTCACGCACCCCGCTTGGTAGGAGGAATAGAAATGTCCACAAGGAGGCCCCAGGAACTTCAGGTCATGAAACGAGCCCCGAGCGCAGCTCTCCGCGCCCGCCCCTCCCGGTCCCCCCCCGGCCCCCGCGCTGCCCGCGGCTCCCCGCAGGTAAGCGCTGCCGGTGGGAAGCCGCTCGGCGGAGGCGTCGCTCCGTGCCCCAGCCCGCTGCCGTCCCCAGCTCCCCGGTGCCCTCCCGCAGCGGGCGGGGGTCCCGTGGCGCGGCTCCTTTAACGCGGCGGCCATGACGCGGGCGGGCCGTGTGTGGCGGGCGCGTCACGGGGCCGGGCGGGGCCGCTCCCGGTGTCACTCGGAGCCGCCGCGGAGCGCCCGCTGCCGCCGGGGGGCGGGGGCCGCGGGCTCCGCCGCTCCGCAGCAGCCGGTAGCCATGCGCTGGTTTAGTTGCTCGTAGGTAGGTTTTTCTGCCTTGCTTCCCCCGCCCCCAGTGAAAACTGACAATGTGGTGCAGTACGAGCGGGCTCGGGGATGCCCGTGAGATGCTGAACGCGTGTCACAGCCCCGGCGCCGCCGCGGGGAAGCGGAACCCCGGGAGCCCCCGCCCGCCGGGCCCGTGGGCTCCGCGGGAGGTGCCCGCCCCCAGCCCGGGGGCTCCGGGTCGTGCGCGGCCGCGGCGCGGGGCGTTCCGCAGGTAGGCTGCTGCGGGTGTCGTCTGCCGTCACCTCAGGTGAACCGAGAAGTGATTCCAGGGAATGCGTGCAGTTGTTTGGTCAGCGGGCAGGAAGAAGCATATTTTCTATTAGTTTGTTACTGTTTTCTTGGTGCTTTACATGCTGCTACATATATAATAAAGGGTCTTTTTCCTTTTTTATTTCTTTTCCCACAGCAGTATTAATTGCTGTTCTCTATTTTTGCAAAGTTTTAGCTGAAGAGTGTAATTTCCCTATTCTGTACTTCCCAGAGCTTTGAGACGTTTCACTGGCATCCATTAATGCTACAGCAAGAACATCCTGAGTCCTTGGTCCGTTCTCTGGTGCCCTCTGAAATAGAAATGGCTTTCTTGAGAACAGAAAGGAAAGGCTCAGGTCATTTCTGCGTGTTCTGTGAAGTGATGGAAAAAGCTATGTGGTGAAAATACTCCAGCATGCTGCAAGGAAGGAAATTAACTGGATTTTCTCCTGTGACATTCTTGTGCTCCATTCCTTTTTGGCATTCAGCATAGCATACCTATAGAAGAAGCTGCTCTAGTGCAGGAAAGGAAGTCTTATGAATAACAGACTGATTTAGGCCTTAGGTGTTTGGTACTCAATTAGTAACTCTGCTTACCAGCTTTATGTGTGCAATGGGTGTAAGAGACATGCTTGTCTGTCCACATTTGCAAACAAGGCCACGGATTTCCAAACGTCTCTAGAGATCTTCCATCTCTTTGGATTCTCTGTATCACAGGACGACAGAAGGCTTATTAAACTCTCTCAATGCATAGCTATATATTTCAGGTCAATCTCCATGCGTATGAGTACATACAGTTTGATCAAAATTTTAACACCTGTGAAAAGGATCAAACGTAGTATTACCTTCCTTGATTTTCAGGCAAGAAGTATTTCTTGTGTTTGAAGAACAGGTCAACCTTTTTTTTGTAATTCATTAGCTACTATCAGCTTTGCCAGGCTTCTTGTCAAATCAGTCTTTGACAGCACTGTTGCTCTCGAGGGGAAACACTCTTTTGTCCCTGTAGAATGTTTGTTCTATTACATTATGCTCTTGTCCTACTACCAGTAATTAAACACAGCTCTTTTTTTCCTCCCTGTTGATCAGTTGCTGAAGTAAAACTTCTATCCTCCCCATGCTAACTGTTGACATGGAAAACAAGGAAAATGGCTCTCTGGATGTCAAAAAGTAAGTGTTCCTTTTATGTAAACAGCACATGGATTTTAAATTGAGTTTTCCTTTGGATTAATGTGGTTGGCAATAGCGGGCACCTCCTTCTTTGCTCATTCCAAACCCTCCCTGTTCTTAATGACTTTTATTTTATTTCAACTTTGAAACAGAAGAGTCCCAGGTACTGAGTTGATTGAAAGTGGTATGTGGTAGCACTGTCTAACAATGAAGAGATGTAGAAGCTAGTAACTTAAGTTAGGAGTACACCTTTCTCCATTGTTTCATTTTGTAATAACCAGAGACTAAAACAAGATGTAGAATTGCAACCAATATTCTGCCTCTGCTCACCTGTTAGTGGCTTTTGCAGAACCAGTGCCTAATGGAGAAAAGTGTCCTCTGTGGAAGTTACCTCTCTGTGCCCTTCTGTGCTGACAGCCACCTGTCTAGGGCTGAAAAGTAGTAGCAGCATATCACTTAGGTGTCAGTTCCCTTTTGAAACAGATACTCTAAGCTGTTTATTGGAGAAGCCCTAAGTTGCTAAGGTTTTATTTCAGACCTAGGGTGGGAATAAGGCAGAGTCGTGGTGTGTACTGTTCTGCTGCTTTCTTTTGTGTGGTAAACTGCTGGTTAAGGGATAGGAACTTTTTTTGTAGGCATTTACATAAGATCAGAAATTCTTAAATTAGGACTAGCAATTCAGAATGAAGTTATGATCTGAGAAGTGAATTTCTGTGTGCAAAATCTGGCCTTGCTGCTTTAGGGTAATAGAAGCCATGATGAGAAAGATGTACACATATGTATTTATATTAAAGGAAAAAAAAACCACAAAGAAAGGTACTAGAGTGAGCTCTTACTCTGTTCTCTCAAACAGCAACACTTCTGTGCAGCTGCACATCATTATTCTCCTTCAGATCTCTTTTACATAAGCTGTCCAAGAAAATGTGACAATGCATAGGGTACCAGGCACTAGAATAATGTAAATAATAATAGTCACTTCAGGCTACTGATAAAACACCTGATTATGACATTGCATCAAAAGATCCAATGGCAGCCATTAAAATCAGCATCCTCCCCTTTCACTTGAGATGCTGGCTACAGCACACCAACATAAAGAGCATTTTCCTATTCAGTGACTATGAATAAATATCATGTGCGTCCCTCAGAAACCGCCTTCCATGTGAGAGTCTGGTTTCTACAATGAGCACTCTGTGGTGGGAGAAGGGAGGCAGTCAAAGCAAGGACAGCTTACATTTAATCATTTTCCCCAAGGCTTGGGTAATAAGGACTCAACTACTGATTACTGAGGTGGCTTTTTACAGTTGATGGGAATTCTAATTAAACTGTGGGGCTGTGGTTTCTAGATGAATGTATATAGTATGTATGTGGGTGTATCTACAAAGGAAGTATTTGACACTTTCTTGAAGTGGTTATAAATAGCTTGGATAAAATCTGTTTGTTCTCAGATACATCCTTTCAGACCTTGCTGCTTCTGCCACATGATGGCAATAAAGGCACAGGGACAGTGGTGAAAAACAGACAAGCCTAATTCTTATTCATTGTCAGTGCATCTAGTATTTAATTTCAAAATGCCAGTCCTCTTAAGCTTTTAAAGTACCCAGGATGTCAGGCATAAGCCAGTGTATGGCTAAATCATGGATGTTGTATCTTCCTTTTTCTTGTCTAAAGCATAGAGCCATGTCAACAGCAGGCTGAAGAGGAGACTAACAAAGTCTACAAGCCAAAATGAGCATCTCTGTGGGTAGATGGGTTAAAATCCAGCCAGCCTCCTGCAGTCTGCCACATGCCTTCCAGTCTTCCACAACTGTCGTTGTGGAAATTGGCTTCGTTTGAGGTCCAGCATGATGCTATTCCTTGAGGCAGGAACTTACAATTATTTTCTATGATAAATTAATGATTGAGGAAGAGCCCCTGAAGTCATTGCAGTTGAGCCCTGGATGGGGCTGGACTAAGGTATAGTTCCCTAGTGATAAAAGAAGAGCTACAAGAAAAGCTAAGGCACCTGTGCTGAGATACAGAATTATGGAAAGGAGGGTTTGGGACCATATTGAAAGTTATGAGTTAAAGTGTTTGGAGAAGTTAGCAAATTACAGTTAGGTGATATTTTTACAGACTGAATCTTTTATTCTCTATTTCGAAAGGGTTAAATTGAGTATCTTCTTTTTTTTTAACTGAGTTGTTGGAGTTTTGTTTATTGTTTTTTTAATTTTAAGTAGAAAATGAATAATTGAAAGGGACATTATGTCTTAGGGAAAATACAAAGATTTAAATATAATTTCTCAAATGCTGTTTTTGTAAATATGTGCAGATTATGTGTGGTGCTTTTCACATTTCACTTAGGTATCAGAATGTGCAGAGTACCAAAAAATCTTAATTGAAATTTTAAAAAAATCTTTGATTAAAAAAAAAAGGAAGGAAAGAAGTGCAGCACTGATAAAGCCAGATCGTCTCATTTTCAATTTTGCTGAGTGTTGCTTTCTATGTAATCACTATCAGTGAAGCAATTCATGAAGTAAGTCATTATGTGATGAGCAAAAGTAAGAAACTCCGTTTCTCATTTCTTGGAGATATGTGATAAATGAAGGAAACTGCTTTTAGAAGGCCAAGTGTAGCACAGGTTGTGGATGATCTCTGTGACCAGATTTGTGTTTTGACAGACACATTTCAAGAATTCAGGGAGATGCAAAAATCATTGTTTTCACAAGTCCTCCTTCCCAGGCCTCAGGTAGTTGTAGAAATAAGAATGTTATCAAAACCATGATGGTAGACACGCTATGTGTAGATTCCATTTTGCTGCTTTGAAGAATGGTTGGCCCTTAATTCACCCAGTTATTTTGCTGAAAGACATACAAGTCCAGACAAGGTAGAGATGGTGACATTTGGAAAAGAAAAAATTGAAGGCTAGAACACAAATGGTGTCAGTAGAGTATAATCTGTTTCTTTTCCAGCTGGTGCTGTTGAAATTAAAGTCCTGCCTCTAAGCTTCAGATCAGAAAATGGGCAGGATTCTGACACCTGCCCTGTTCTGTACCTTTTTGATATTTCTTCATTAGCATTATGGTTAAGCACGCAGAACAGTGGAAAATATTTGGCGTGAACTTCAGGAATTATGGTTGAAGAAACTTGTTAAAAAAGTTATTTGATGTCTTTCTCTTCATCCTCATAAATTGCAGTTGAAAAGGCAATCAAGCTCACTGTGTGTCTTTTTTACCAAAAATTTTCAGATACACAAAGGTTATCTTTGTGATAGGGTGCTACAGTTTGAGGGAAAGAAATGCAGGATAGGGATAATAATAGGAATGTTTTGTTGGTTTTGCTACTGTGGAAAGCAATTGCCTGAGGTTAATCACAGAATGCATTAATTTTGATTGTGTTTAACCAATGCACAGCTATTTTAGAAGTCCATAGATTTGTCCAAAGATGAGTCCAGAAATAGTTTTGGGAAATTTTCTGTATTGAAAATTGGTGCAATCATTTGGTGCAATCATTTGGTGCCTCTTTTGTTTTGTTTTGGTTGGGGAGTTTTGTTTGTTTGCAATTTGTTGTTGTTTTGCAAGGTGAAGATGGTTACCAGTAATTTCTACCCATGTTATATGGACAGTCTCATTTGTGTGAAGAATAATCTACATACAAGTCTTCATGTACTTGGTAGCTGAACACAAACTTTAGGCTTGGGAGGCAGGAATTTGGTACCCAGTTATGGCAGTTTTCATTCTCCAACAGCAAAGGCAGCACAGTTATAGGAAGTTCTTAACTGATTGCCTTTGGCTGATGTGAAGATTCATGTACTTCCTTCTTCTCTGAAAGGAGAGATATCTCAATTTTCCCTAGCATCAGGTCTTTGGAATGTAAAAGAACTGGTGTGACTGTTCTGTACTGGGGTGGGGCGAGGTGTTTCAAAGAGCCCTTTTGCTGCAAAAACAGGGAAGGAGGGGATGTATATGAGGTGTGCACAAAGAAGCAGCAGATGTTCTGCACATCTTTAGTGATTACTTGTCTGGATTTGCACTTTGCAGTTCAGTAGAGAATGGGAGACCTCCGGATCCTGCTGACTGGGCTGTTACCGATGTTGTGAATTATTTCAGAACAGCTGGATTTGAAGAACAAGCCAATGCTTTTCAGGAACAGGTAAATCTGTTAGCAAACACCTTTTGACTGCCACCAGTTTCTCAGATTGCATAATTTTGCCATGGGCCTGGTTATATACTCTAAAATGAGAGAGAAAATCCCACATTAATGGGGCGACTTGAATGTGTTATTGGGTGACAATATATGGGACTGTAATCTCTGAGTAGTAATATTGTTCTACAAGCTGTGGATAATGAGTTGGAGTTTGTTTAAAATAGGATTCAGAAAGGTGAGAAATCAAAACAAATTTTCTGGCTTGAACTCACTCTCCCTATACAACCCACTCAGTTTCACTGTCTTGTTATTTAAAATGTGAATTCCCTTCTTTTTTAGTGTATGCGAAAATACACTAATGAGTTTTTATGAAACCTAGGGCATCTAAGCAACAAGTTGAGTTTGAAGGTGTAGGGTGGAAAAGGGGCTGCTCTGTTGCATTGAACTTTGCAGTACAAGTGAACATGGAAAGGACAATTTGGCAGAGGAGCAGCATGTTTGTAGGACTCAGTCTGAGAAAGAGGTTGGGTCTTTGTTTCTGGGCCTTGTAACTGCTGATACTGATGGAAGACTTCTTTTTGGTAGATTAGATCAGCAAAGAGCTTAACAGTCAGATGGCCCATTGTAACTCACCTGCCAGAAGCTGGTAAAGGCATGTTAGTGGGGCAGAGCAGTCAGCTTACCTGGTTTACAGCCTACCACTTCCATAGAGAAGTCATTTACATCAGATTGGCAGTTCAGCACCTCCTCAGATAAGTCTGTAGGTTTGAATGTGACTTCCAGGAAATTTGTCACCCACACTTGTAATTAGTTATCAAAATAGATGGCTTGACCTTCCAAGGTACTAAGCTGGTGCAAGTTATTGGCAGCTTTGCAGGACACTGCACATTGCACATGCAATAACATCATGGTTGGTCAGGTTAATGTTGCTGACCTTCAGTACAATGTCTATGAAATCCCATCTGATTGTAATTGATGCATATAACTAAGTATCTAAATTTAGTTCTTTGTTCTTGAGGGAGAAAAGCCTGGTGTTGGGTGACTCTCAGGCAGGTCGCAGAGAGAGGTTCTTTCTGCAGCTGTTACTCATTTATCAGAATATGAAAGTGGGTGAAGAGGCCAAAAAAGAAAATATTTGAGGATGTCCATTCCTTAATACCAGCACCCACATCTCAACTGTCATGGACATGTGGCTGAAAAAGACGACATAGGCAAAGTAATTGTGGTCTCTGGGAGTCTTTTCCTTATACTGACAGATACCTCTGACTTTCATCAAATATCTTAACCTCTCTGCCTCACAGCTGGCTTGTCTATAATACTGCAGTAATTACTGATTTTGCAACAGGAAGGTGAGGCTAACTTACAAGTTTTGGCAAATCACTTTGCAACAACCTTATGGAAAACAGCGTAGGAGTGGAAAGGTTTTATTTGCAGTATTCTGCAGTGAGGGCAAGTGGTTTCAGGAGGGTAACTGAGGACTCTGCTAGGGTAGCCATGTGCAGAAATGTGGGTGTGATTCCACTGCCAACTTCACCTTATGGTAAAACCTTGGAGAGAGAGAGGCTGACAGCTGCCACCAGGATGTGGCCAGGAGCTGAGGGATGGATAATCACAGCAGAAGTCATTGCCACTTCCTTCCCCTTCCTTTCTATTAGCAGCATGAGGAGCAGCAAGTGCCTGGTTCTATATGCCAGTTTTGCCAGCCTATTCCCTGTTTGCACCTGGAACAGCCCCATAAACAACCTTATCCCTAACTTCTTACTGGTGGTGCTGTTCAGTTTCTTCTACACTATTTGCTACCACTAGCTTTAACTCTGTGTTCTTATAGTATTTTTTATTAGGATCTTCCAGGTATGGCAGTGTAGATAGATTCACTTTGAATCCTTTGCCATCCTGTGTCTATAGAGCACCAGGCATGCAGCTGCTATTCTGGCCATCTGTATTTCCCTCTGTCATTTGCAGTTGCCTGGGCCCCAGAAACCTAGTTTCATTTGATCTACTGCCCTGAATATGTACTGAAAGAGGAATGCATTTGTAAGTGGTAAAGGAAAGTATTCAGTTTCACCTGCAACACTGGGAAATTGTTTTCCACTGAACTGCTTCAGTAGGGGAAGCACAATGGTTTCCTTACAAAATATCCTTAGCCCAGAATGTAATCATGACATCTGTCATTACATTGAACTTTTACGCAACAGTAACTGAGTCCACACTTTCTTTTGATGAATCTGAATATGTCTGGATTCACCTAAAACAAGTGACTCAAAAAATTTTTAAGATCTGAATTTTTCTTACAATATTTTAAGGAATATGAGAAGACATTTTAAGGGCTGCAGAATGTTTTATTAAAACTGTTTTGTAAGTGCTGGTGAGAAGTGATGCTTGTATGATGATTATATATTCCTTCTTGAAGTTCCACTGATTTCACCAAATCAAAGAGCTTACTGATGAACACAGATTCAACTGAAAAACGTTGCCCAATAACAAAAAAATGTAACATCAGTACACAAATCAGACAAGCTAAGAAGGACACAGCATACATAAAGAGGGAGGAATAGCACGAGTTGCAGGATGAGGGTGTGAACACCTTCAGAGAAATATAGCCTGCCAGTATGTGGCTGAGCTTTCTCTAGGAGCCCTGGAAGCCCAGGGGCTCTAGCTCACTCCACAATTGAAGCTTTTTGCAAGGTCTCAATGTGCGCTCACACTCTGATCTTTGTTGTTGCTCATGTGGCTTCTTGACCATCAGTGTTGTGATAGTCAGATATGCCCAAGTAACCCAGTGCTGGTTTGCTGGCCTCACTGCAATGCCTCACCAGAAGGGAAATTGGGGTTTGACATTGGCTGGTGTCTGCTGCTGCTTTCTGGTAGAGCCATGGTATGGAGAAGCACATGAGTGTGCTGGCTGCTGTGCTCTTGTGCTCATTTACTGTAAAACTTTACATTTCTCAGTCACTTAGAGAAAAGGCAGAAAGAGTGGGAGGGTGTGAAGCTTAACCAGTCCCCTGGTTGTTTGCTGAAGACAACATGATACTGCTGTTGAGGTCATCCTGGCACAGTGGGGAATTATTGTCAGGTCGAGTTGTGCAGAGAAGTCTCTCTGCGGTGAACATTAAAAAGGCATACTGAGAACTGGCATCAAAATTGCATCCTGAAAAATATCTAGAAAACAGAGAAGTAGCCGAGAAGAAATCAGAGAAGTTCATAGAGCATACAAATCTTACCTGGTACCAAAAAAGGAGTAACAGTGACAATTGTACAGAAGGAGGTTAATGCGGAAAACTTAAAGTGAAAGAAGTAAAGCTTAGAATACACACAAAGATACAAAATGCTTGAACTCTGAATACATATTTGCTCATTCCTACACAAATGTATTTAAAGAATCAGTTTTTTATTCAGTGAAAGTCTTAGTAGTTACCAGCATTTCTGGAAACCACAGGAAATCCTGTGGAAGAGGAAGGGAAAGGAATAGATGCTTTTTTCCTATTCTTGGAGTTTCTCCTATTCCAGGTACTGGATTTACTTCATTTGGATCCTACCAAGCTGGAGGCTGTTCTTCCTCCATAGCATCGTTGAACAGCAGCAGAAAAGGCAACATCAGATCGGTCATAGCAATGAGCAAAATACTCACTGGTGTCAAAATTCCCACAGAGAGAATTGTGACGAATGGAAAAGAGAGGATAGAAACTGGTTTTAACCATTAACATTCTCAACAGTAATTGGAAAGAGGCACCTGCTATAATTGGGTAAAAAGTTATTGGAAACTTGTTTTCTTTTAGAAATACTGTTACTTTGGGTTCCCTTGAGGGATTAGTAGTCACATACGTCTTGGGGATGTTTTAAAGAAATGCCACTCTCAGCTGATCTTTGACTATGTTGTGGTTTGTCCATGTATTTTGTATTTATAAACTCTATCAAATCACAGGACAGATCAGTCTGGACAAATTCCTGCTGAACTGTAAAAGAAGTCTTTTTTTTCACATTGAGCTATAATCAAGGATGGGATCTCTGATTCCCAAAATAGTATTTAACATCCAGAAGGAATATGCTGCAGTGGGATAAACTGATGTGTGGTATTTATAATACTTACTAAAATACTAAATTTTGGCAGTATATTAGAGAACAACCATTAAGGCCAGCATTTTAATTAGTTGTTGCCTATTGATAACAAATTCAACTGTTAATATTGAGGGGGTTTAAATAAAAGTATTAAAAGGAATGAAACAGCAGAGTGGAGTCCAGTGCAGGACAATGCCAGATAAGGCTATATACATGTTTGGGCTATGATGCCCTTTGGAGATCTGGCTGTGTTGTGAGACAACAATCAGTGCATTGTTGTGTAGCTGTAGCTCCTGTTTCTGGAGTAGTTCAGTGTGATTGAACTCTAAGAATGTGTAATGAAAAGTATGGTCCCATGTCCGAAAAGCAGAAGGGAGTTAAGAGATGTGGATTCATTCTCTTCCATTTTGAAAGGTTTTGAGATGGAATAAACCCCAAAGCCTGTGGTATTTCTAACCTAAACAGGTCAGAGAGTCAAGGTCTGAGAGGAAAAAAAATCCCACCATATCTAGGATTTACAAGAGGTATTTTAATCAGGAAATTGTAGGGGCTGTTGAGACCTAAGCTGGCAAGTTGCTGCTTTTCTCCTCTTCCCTTGTAAGTGGAGGAAGAGAAGTTCCCTCAGAGTGTCGAGCTCCAGTTAGGCCTTTCTGACATTTCTGCTTGCAAGAGTCTTTTCCTTTTCCCCCCCCACAGGATGCTGGGAAGGTTGGCCTCTTAAAGAAGGCATCTGAAGTTATTAGCAGATACTGACTAGTCTAAACCTGCATATTGCTGTCCGTAGTAATTCTTCTGAAAAGCACTTCATAAGCCACCTTCTTAGGAGTATCCTTCCCTTAATGGCTGATAATTAGGCATTCTGCACTTGTACCTATTCATTTGAAAAAGGTTTACAAGGAGAGGATTTTGAAATTAGGCTCATTCGGATTTTGTGCTTGACTAAATATTATTTATGCCTTAGTCAGCACAGGTGAGCATTTGAAAAGCAGACAGCTGAGTTTAGCAGCTGTAAACATGGTTTCAGGAAAATCAAGGCTACTATTTCTTTTCTCACTGATTCTCTTTAGTAGTCTTCCATTTATTGCATGACTGTTCTCATCTGTTAGATTTGTATATTTGTCTTTATCAACTCTCTAATTCTTCTTATAGGAAATTGATGGCAAATCATTACTGTTGATGACAAGAAATGATGTACTGACTGGACTTTCATTAAAACTGGGGCCTGCGCTGAAAATCTATGAATATCACGTAAAACCTCTACAGACACAACATCTAAAGAACAACTCTTTATAGCTAATTGTCTAATTGGGGTCATGCTGTGCCTCAAAGGAAAAATAAGCAATTTGGTTTCATGTGATGGAACTTTGTAAAGAGAGAATATATCTATTAAGAGTTTAAACCAAATTACACTATATATCCTATTGGATAGAGTTGGCAATATACTATATACCAAGTCTGAACAGAGAGAGGTGATGTGTATTTTTTACATAGTACATAATGATTTTCTCTTTTAGGAAGTGTCAATGAGCATGTTGAGATAGCTACATCACTGTTTCCAGAACGAAAGGGAGGTATGTCATTCTCATTTTTGAGCCAGACATGTTCTTGATTTCATTAATTAAAATACCAAAAAAATTAACAAAAACAACCCCAAAGTTTACAAGCATCTTTAGGAGAGAGGAACCAATTAAAGTAGGTTTTGATTTACTCTAAAGACCTACTAAAATTATTACTGCTTATAATTTCAGGATGGGACTAACACTTGCCAAGTCACCCTTTTTTGCAGAGGGTCCTATTTTGACCTTATTAAGGTTTTCTCGTGGTATGCTGCAATGTTTAAAGCTGTACATATGACTAACATAACTCCTTCGATAGCAGAAGGTGTTGCTGACAGGTGAAACTGGGTTGTGTATTTTTTGCTGTCCTTTAAATTTTCAGCTTTTCACCTGTTTTTAATGGTAGTCCTATGTAAAATATAGTTGGTTTTTAAAGGTTGTGTTGCTTTGCAAACAAAAAAAAAGTTTAATTTTATTCCTTTTTTAATTTATGATTGTTTTCTAACATAAGGCAGAAGTTTGTAAAAAGTAAAATTCTGCACATTTTTAATATTGTCTGTCTTTGGTGTTGTAATGATTGATTTATTTTTAATGCTTTACTTAACACTTTGAATACTTGTTTTAAGAACTGAAAGAAGCTGTCTTGTCACCATACATCTCTGTTAAAAGAGAGTCATGTTCAATCTGTTTGTACCAGTTCCCTATTTGATAGGTTGCTTGCTATATCCCAATAAAACATTGCTTATGTTTCGATTCAGTTTACTTTACAGATCTTTTACTTTCTCTGTTGTGGTATACTGGAGCTCCTTTTCTCCATTTTCCTATTAAAAAGGTACCAAAACCTACCTAATATTCTATGTTCTTGTGATTACTTTTAACATCACCTACCATAATATTTAAAGGTTTAATTATTTTTGCTCTTTCTGCTCTGATGTTACGTACTGCAAAAGGAGAAGCCCTTGTCACAGTTCTCCAATAACATCTGTTTCTCTTAGCCCTGTCTGGAGCTATCAGTGGTGCAGAGCTGCTGTGCTGGCCCTGGTACACAGGGTGGTTTGATTTACCCCAGAATGTCTGTGAGACAGCCCACAGATGGTGCTAAGCCCTGTCTGGGATCACCACCATCTCTGGCCCAGAGAGCTTTGTGATGACCCCTGAAATGGGGATATGGGGCTGCAGCAGCAATGCTGAGCAAAGAACTGGGAAGTAGGAAATAAGCATGAGAGTGTGGTGAAAGTGGAAATGGTATGGGAAAAATGGTGAGGGGGTGTATCTGAGAAAGGAGAAGGGTGCTGCTTTCTGCCAAGTGAGGACAGGATTCAGGGTGAGAAAGGAGAAACTCCTGTAATCTCCTGCTTAGGTAGTGGCCGTGTGTTCATTTTGACTTGGCCAAATGTGAGGTGGCTGTTCATGCTGCAATGCTCAGAGAGTTGATTGTGGTTACTGGTGCTGAAGGAAGAAAGGGGAGAGAAAGGACAAAGCCACGTTAGTTGTTATGCCACAGGTAAAGCTCATGGTATACACTATATTACATAATTACATACGCAGAAGCATGCTTTCTTGGATGCTTTCTAATCTTTACATTGTACAATGTATTTATTTGGAAGTGGAGACAATAAGACAGAGGTGTATTCATCATTTCGTGGTCTGTCCCTTATACTGTGCTTACTTCAGGTATTGTTCTGTTAGCAGCAGGTTTGTAAGTCATGGTGTGAATTCTGCTTATGATTTTATTTGTAGTTTGGTCATGTCCTGATATACCTGCTGGGAGTAGGGATCTTCTGGAAGACTAGACCAAAATAGAGATAATCAACCCTGCCTATGGGAATTTTTAGCTATAGTCTGTATCTGGCTAATTTTGGGCTGCAATTAAAAATTATACATGAAATTCCTAAATATTTTAATATAGAATTTGGTATGATTATGAAAAATATCATAAAAGCAGTCTGGACATGCTAACCAGTACTGTACTTGTAGAATTATTTTGGATAAGATTACATAGTGCTGTATTACTGAAAGATTAATTGATTTTTTTTTCCWTTTGCATGTTTGGCATGGGATTTACATTTTGTAGACCTATGGAAGACAGAATTAGAAGTAAAACATACGTATTGCAGGAGGGAGTAAAAATCTCCACTGTGCAGACATGAGAGTGCGTTTGATGACTTCTGAACACAATTCTTTCTTTTAATATGTTTTAATGAACAAATGAATTGCATTCAGAGAAACATCCAGATTGTATTTCCCTTTGCTCAGCACCACTAAGTCATACAAGTAAACACCTAACAGCAATCTCACTGCAAGTGCAAAAGGGAATTTGGAGGATATTGGTCAAAACTGACAATATTTTTACTGTCTCTGGTTTTTATTGTATCTTCCTACTCTTCTATGAGCTTTCTAATGCTGCTGTTCTCTTTGTGCAGTTGACCGTTCTGGTTTTGTCTCTTACATTCTCCTTGCTGTTTCTGGGAGAACAAAAAAATCTTTTTAAGAGACTGGAGGGTTTAAAAGAGGAAGCCAAAGCCAGATTATTTTTAGCTGTCATTCCTCTTGCAGAAAACACAGCTGCTGTTGAGATGAGGAAGCAACTGATAGGCATTACTGGATATCATGTCAGTACTGCAGCTCTGAGTCGCAGAGCTATGCAGGAATCCAATTTAAATCATGCCCTTTTTTGTGCCCGCAGCTGGAAGAGTCCCTCTTCCTTAAAAGCCCTCCCTGCATTCTGGGTGAGGGTTAAGATGCCAGCATCCAACTGCTGAGCTGATATGGGGGTGAGTGTGATGAGGRTCTTGGCTTTCACACCGAACCACAACTCAGAGATGCCCTTCTTCTCCTAGAGGCAGTGTTAAGGAATAAAGCAGCACTGAGCTCCCCTGCCTGCTGTTGGTCTGCCCAAAATCAGTCATGCTACAGCCAAGGTCTTCCTCTTCCCTGTCCTTCCTCCCTCCTCATSTCAGTAGTGCATATCTATCAGAATCTTTCATACACTTTTAAAATTATTTGGAAGCATTACAGTGTGTCTTTTCTGGTGTGATGGGTGTGAAATATGTATTGAAATTGTTCATCAGCTCTGGTCACTCTCCTCTCAAGCTGTGGATACACAACATGGCATGTTCTCTTTGCATCCAARCAGAGCCAAGTACCATACATAAAGCAACTGTCAGCAAAGTATGGGATCTGTGGCTGTACCTGTCCACCAAGATCACTTTCTCAACCCAGAAAAAAATTGTTCTGACTACTTGCTGCTATCTACTACCCCTGCACCGTATTGTTCCAGTTTGTTCTAATGTGCTGCACTTGATCAGTTTGCAGAAGGTTCTTTGTATAAGACAAGATTTGGCAGTAGCCAAATTTGGACTAGCCCCCCCCATGCATAACTCCTGGTGAAAAATGGCCCAGGCAAAATGTCTCATTAGGCTGTCACTCAGSGATTAATTGCTAAATGAACTCTTCCCTCTTTTCCCTGCTTTTTCCAACATGTACAAATTCTGCCAAATCCTTTCACTCTTTCTCTTTTTAAAAACCATTTAATTGATCTTTTGTCTTTGACACACCTCTTTCCACTGTCACAYTGAAGTTACAGTGACAGTTATTTTAAAATCAAGTCTTATTTTCTGTGAGTCTGAGGGAAGCTGCAGATTTATTTCTCTTTTTTTTTTTAATGGCAAAATCGTCTAAATTTGAAGGCTGAGTCTGAGTAGGACCAGAAAAACACTACCTTACTTGATCTTCATTCTGGTTCTCTACTTACAAGTCAGAACAGCAGTTCCTTCTCTCCTAGGAATGGTTTTGGCCCAAAAGTCACGTGGGAAATGAGATGACTGTTAATGTGCATGTGGCTGGGGTAACAATCCCTGGCTCATTAGCAGCAGGGTGAGTGGAGCACTTCAGGGAAGGGTCTGCTCCACTCTCTCCTTCACCTTGTGCAATTTATATGGGCAATGGATTGGGTTCTTCATCTGACAGGAGGACTTGGTGCTTGGRGATACCATCCAAGAGATCTCATCCATGTCCCCTTCCTTCACGTGGAAAGTATTTATGCACCTTCAMATCTGTGTTGCTCAGTTTAGGCAACAGTTCCCCAGGGGGAGTGCAGAGGACTGTGGCTGTCATTAGCCCACTGGCAGGGGCAGTCTCCATTGGAACCATGGGCAGATGGATTTAATAAGTAGCTTTCATTCCTGTTGGGAAAGTCTGTCTTCTTTTTTAATATGATAATGTAACAAGATCATTAAATTATTTTTTGCTTAGCCCCTATAATTAGAGAATTGATTTAGTGATGTTTATTTAGATCTTCAATGTGTCTTCCATTCCCAGAATAACATTGGTTGGTAGTTGCTATAAATTTGGGGAATGCAGCTGTAACCTCAGGCACCTGGAGAGCCCAAGGGGAGCACCTTGAAGACTGTAAGTGGTTCTTGGTCTCCATGTGAGAGTTTCATTGCTKCTGAAGGCTGCTGGTGAGTACTGGTTGTATTTATACTGTTGTATTTATATGCTGCACTCGTGAGCATCCTTGCTRAAGGAGCTGTCAGCACTTACAACTGCTGTATCATCAGCTGATCTGCTGATAAGGCAGCAGCAAATGTCTTGGCATTGGCACACTTGCATTCATCTCAGGATGTTCTCTTTCCCTTTTTGGATGATTGCTRTAATCCAGCTGCCCCTCTATACACACTCTTTGGTACTTATATATTGAGGTTGCTTCTGATTTTGGCAGCTAAATTGTATCAGAAAAGGGAGGGAAGGCTCATTATTGCACTGATCTCTTGGATTCAAGAGTAACATTGCTTTGTTTTGTCCTAGTGGGTGGTGGAAGGAGGAAGGAAGTAGAGAGTAAGGAAATTGTTACTGAGTTTGTTCACAAGCTGGTGGCCAAACTGTGCGGACAGAAGTGTGGAAATGGGTGTGTGCCTGGGTGTAGCAACCCTGTTTCACAAGGACACTCTTCAAATTGCTTCCTCCCGTCTCTGTAAATAACACCCAGCAGTTTGCCTGGGCTTTCCTACCTGAAAGTATGTGTCTAGAGGATTTTAAAACGTTGCAGGAGTATGAGGCCATTACRACTTGAGCTCTTGCCTTTTTCAGTCAGGTATAAACTAGGAATTCATGCCACACTTGAGAAGTGGCAGAAGGCCTCCACAGTAYTCAGGCACTCTGGTTTCTGTTGTATTTCCCTCTGTATCAAAGGTTTCTCTACCCCCTTATTTAACTGATTTTTGAGCCTCTCCAGTATTGTTTGGGTTGGGTTTTTGTTTTAGCAACAACTAACCCCAGATCATATTTTTTCTCATCTGATTGCMATAGATTAGTCATACATCAGCTGATCTAGTAAGTGTCATTTATACACATAATTTATATCCATATGTGTGTGTATGTGCATGAATGCACTCAGGTACTGTGTCTATCTTTCTCAGTCTGCTATGAATGGTGAGGCTCTCAGAAAACAGTTTGTATTATAGCTGAGATGTGAAYTGACATTTTTGATCCAATAACTGGAAACATTTAATAAGTTTCCTTTCTAGATACAGCTGTGCACTTTCCAGAAGGAATATGGTTGGTTGTTGTATGTATAAAAAGAGTGGTATTTTAAATTCAGAAGTATTTATGTTGAGATTTTTAGCCAGAGACAGTTTTTTGGTCATTTTAAGTAGCTCAGTTCAGCTTAGAGTCTGGATTATGTACTCTTAATAAAAGCAAGATTAAATTTAAAAAGGAAAAAGACACCTTTAAAGGAGAAAAAAAAAGTAGCTGTAATAGTAAAAACTGGCAGGTTTAAGTGTATAGTGGCAAGCAGGTAGCAATATTTGCAGAATAATACAGTCAGGGAAGACAGATCCCTTGTGCTGACCCTGACAGTGACATTTGCTCTCTATTTTARGTACTGGCTGATGAGTTTAGCTGGTGCATTTAATCTGTGTGACATTGGTTGTGTGTGGASCATAATGAGCAGCTGAGGAGGGCTGTGTTGGACTGTCCTGAGCAGTTATCAGMATTGATCAGAACCAGGATGGGAGAGAATCAAACACTACAAAGATAATATGTTTGTGCACTTGAAATACCCTGTTTCTTGGTAGGAGGCTTCAGCCACTGTGATCTACTGGGATGTCGCCCAGGACCAGCAAGGTTCATGTTATCAGCAAGAAATTGTATTTTAAACAGCAATTTTGCAATCTGCTAGCTGCTGCTCTTTTTCATCAAGTGTGGTTTCGTCAGCAAAGCATCACAGCTGCTTCTGAGTAAAACACAGTAAGCAACTTGAATAGATCCTTAGGACAGGAACTGAAAAAAACACCTGTCTCAATGAAATTAATGCAAGTCCATTGTGGAGACTGAACCTAATGAAGCCAATTGGAATTTGGTCAGATTTCAAGCCCAAGCAAGTCTGGCTAATTCTCATTTCAAGAATGATTTATGCCACCGTTATCTTAATCTAGTTGCCATATGGGAAATTTGGGCTGCTTCCGATTGCCTAAGTACTTTCTTTAGAAGCAATCTGCCCACGTAAATGACTCAGGTTTGCAGTGCTGGATGGAGCTGCACTGAGATGCTCTGGAGACTTGGTGAATGTCTGCGTGTCTGTGGAGGTTTCTACAAACCACACTGAACGAGTGTACGTGTGTGCTTGTTGCCACAGGAAAGGCTCAGTTAAGAGCTGCTCACTGCTTTGTGTCCTCATTCTGCCACAGAGGTGAGTCCGCCACTGCCTTGTAGGGCCACAAATGAAGCACAAAGAGCAACAAAGGAAACATTCTGCCTGATACAATAAATTTTCTGTAAGGTAGAAAGGAAGTTGTTTGTGCAGTTCTGCCTTGTTTTGAAAAGAAGTAAATGCTGAAACGTTCCATAAGATTCTTTTTCAACTGTTAGTAGTGAACTGTCATTTGGAGAAGGTTGGTCATTTTCTGAGGTGAAATTGGGTGAATTAAAGTACTTCTTTTACTTTAAATGGTTACATTTATATATAAGTAGTAAGTGGTCAAAAACTAGTTTGTTTTTTGATGTTGCTCTTTATTTGCCTTTAAAAGGTACATTAATAAATTAAAAGCACCTAGTAGTGACAGAAGTAGTAAGATGTAAGCCCACAAGTACAATACAACACAATCTAAGAAGGTAAGCAAGAATGTTCCCAGGAAAAGCTGGAAGTGTTGTAAATAAAGCTTTCAGAATTGSCTGGTGACCAGAGATCATCATATGTGGGACAGCTTACTCTGTGCTGTCATTTTTCCTGTTGTTCAGGAGATAGCTCAGGTTTGTGGACAGTTCTCCCCATGCATCCATAATGCCCTGCTCACCAGGGCGAGTTTCTATCTTGCAAGCACCTCAAAATGTCACACAGTGCAGGACATGTCCCCCATTTTTGGTGCTTGTGAATTTAATGATTGTACCCAAAGCAATGCTGCCTATCTGCCAAACTCAGGAGGTGAAAGGCAACTGAACTGCAGTTTTTAGAAGTTTCTTTGGGCACTTCCCATTGGATTTGTACCCTGTCACATGGAGTCTATGAAAATGACACTTGGAGAGAATGAGAGCAAGGGTTAGAAGCTGTCAGAAGCTGACAGGATTCCTGTTRCAAATGTGGTAGCCACAGTTTGTGAGATGAGAATCGTTGACTGAGTTGTTTTACCTCTATGTTCAAAGCTATCACCTGGGGTAACTAAAGTAAAATATGCACTGTCTCATTTACTCTAACTTAAAATACGCATGCTAGTACCCCTCCCAAATGTAATAGGGCTACATAGGTTGACTCCTGCCTGCTCAGAAGTTATAAGATTATTAGACTAAAGGAAACAGTTTATTTAAGACTACAGAGACAGCCCAAACCCTCAAACCACCTCAGTGATTAATGTAAAACTACTATAGTAACYATAGTCTGATGAGTAGCAGTAGTAGTCATGCAGTCAGAATACATGCAGAGAAAGTAGTCAACAGCTGTAACTATTCACACCACAAAGGAGATATGAGAGACACTTTTTTTGTTGTTTTTCATTTCCTGTGCAAAGAAATCCTGATTCTGACTGCCTTTTCAGTCACTGAGTCAGAACTTCAGCTTTGTAGATCAGTGTGGCGTGAAGGGGTCATGACAGATTATGTCAATGAAACTGAAGAAATATTAATAAATGGAATATAGAGATTTGCTGATTTTGCATGTCAGAAACATGTTACAGATATCAAATTTATTGTTTCATTAAAAGGTCTGGGAATAGCCAGTTTAAAAATTCATTGACTATAATGTTTCTGGCTAGGATTTTCCAAAGAGCTTGGGGGATTTCAGTCTGGAAATCACACTGAAGTTCAGGGACAGACTTCGATTTCTGATTTCCTGAGGGTCCTTTATAAATCCCATATTCAGGAGTTTATAGAGGGAAAAGTAGTCAGCAATGGAAGAGGCCAATAAGGAGTAAACATTGATAGGAAAGCCATGCTGTTAAGTTTATCAGGAAGGTGTGAGTATAGCCAAGCGGTTTAGTTTCCCTGGGCAGCTGCCAGTCCAAATTTCCTCTCATCTCTCATCATATGGCCTTGTGCTTCAAAAAACTTCTTCCTGCCAAGTGTGCAAGCACAGGAACCATAAGGAGCTTCCACTGGAACCAAAACCTGAGGGGAATGAACACAAACACAAAGGTTATGTTTGAGACAGGGATGTGCCAGCAGAAACTGTGACTATTCACCTCCTTATAAAATCATGCCTAGGCCCCTCTTTTCTCATATGAACATCTGTGGTAGATATTGATGTCAGCACAAGTAAAAGAGGACCTGTAATGTCCACCTGAAGGAGGACCAGGATAGGAGAGCATGGCAGCAGAATCACAAGACTTTGGAGGGAGTCTGGACTATCTGGGCTAGACTATTGACTATCAACACCAAATGGAATAACCCCATTTCTGTCTTCCATGTGAGGACAATGTAACAGACTTCCAGCTGGACCAGGCTGGCAGCTGGAGCAGCTGTGGGGGGAGGAGCAAATGCATCTCATCCTCCACCTCTTGCCCTCTGCCTGATCTCAGGCTTGTAATTCATCCACTRTTGGGCCAATCTGCTTTGGTTCCTCCAGCTACAGAATCATCCCTCTGCTGTTCCCTGAGGCTGCTGGTCATCTGTCACCTGGGGTTAGCTTATGGCCAAGCTCACTGCCTTGTAACCCCTGCACCAAGGATGCTCCCAGMCCTCAGTGGGGCTGCCAGTGCAGCAGAAAGAAGAGCCACAGTGGGCTCAGTTTTCACTGAGCCTGACTATGAGAAGGGATGCAGAAGTGCATTCTACTTGGGTAAAACTGCACAGGTTGACATTAAAACTGAGAGTCAACTTCAGCGGGGAAAAGAAGAATGATTTTTCAGAGACAGTCTCTGTTATAGATCCTTGTGATGTCCAGAGTATTCCACTTGCGCCTTTAGTTTTTATATCAACAACACAAGAAGGCAATCATTTATACTCCCTTTGTAATCAGTGTAAGTCTTTTTCAGAGGTAATGTGGAGCTTTTACTGGGACTGGGAGAGAAAGTTTGCTCACTTTAACTTTGTTACGTGTAGAACTGCTGCTATGCTTTAAGGCTGAGTATTTCTAAATAGGGCAGTAAAGTTGTGTTTGAAACATTTACTTACTTCTTTGTCATTGGTCAAGCCTAGATTCTTCATGTCTACAACATTATAAAAAGTGTTGTTCAAGACGACTTCTATGACCTGAACCTGAAACCATGAAAATGGATGAGACAATGCATTTAGGGCACCTTTCCAGGCAACAGCCTGGCAGGCTTTTCACTCAGTGTAAAAAGGAACAATGCCCACCCCCCCCCGCCGAGTTCAGGTGATCAAATTCAATCTAGTGAACATGTGTAGCACACCTTTCCTTTTTATTTAAGTGCTGCCAAGTGATGTTCTGCCCCATTGTATTCATAGCTGGGGAGTTTCCATTCTTACTTAGAACTGACAGGAAATAATAGTCTCATGTTGGTCTTCTCAGTGGTGCAATTAATTAATGTTCACTATTGTTGAAGTAAAATATCATTAGGAGGAAAGAAGATACCTGTGACACTCTGGAAAGGACATGCATCTGGATACAGTTGACAGTTTTCTGGTAAGAGGGTGAATATTCCCCACAGTCAGGTGGTCCAGCAAAGGCTTCAAGGATACATTCACGGATTTTCTTCCTAGAGGTAATAGAGGTTCTTACAAAACCTTGTATCAGCTATCTCTGCTTAGATCCACAATGCTCTATTGTGGGGTGGTTTTTGTTTGTATTTTTCATGTCTTTGCTGACAAATATATAGCCCATGGTATTTGTGGAAAAATTATTTGTCCTGTCACCCAAATTCTGTTTCCTCTCCCCACCACCACYCAGATATATAATTCACAAATAGGTTTTGCTAAAAGTATTTAACAAATTAGTTATTTTATTCTCCTAAAGYGTTCTGTACTGGACACAGAACTGTTCATTTATATGCTGTCCTCTGATGCACCACCCTAAGACAAGCCTCTCACCCCTCATAACAGAGYTTAGTGCTGCCACTGAGAGCTGTGTGTGGCTGGTGCACAGCAGCTGCAGATCTGGCCATTCTGTGYTGTATGCAGGGACTTTGTGAGCATAGATTAGGGAATGAATATTACTTGATAGAACATATACCATATGCAGTTAAAGTCAAAATCCTTGCATTCGCCATATGACCATTTGCAGAAGAGCTCTCCACATAGAATCCTGTCATGTCTTTCAGGAAGTGTGGTGTGTTCATTCTTATAGAAGCCTTCAAATCCAGACTGTGTTGTCTTCATAAGTTTCAGGTCCTTAATTCCAGCAAAGACAAGGAGAGGACCTGTGATTGAAAATTACAAGAAATTATGAGCTGCTTTTCAAGGAGAGAAAGAAATCTCTGGGTGCGTACTTGCACTGACAGCWCCAGAGCCAGAAAGCAGACACTGATACCAGCAGAAAGATAAAAGACAGAAACTACTGAAGTCAGAGCTCAATGGAAATGGAAATAGAAATAGAAAATGGAGAATCAATAGAAAATGGAGAATCCCATCAAGTGATCTGCAGTTAAGGAAAACTGRGGATAGTCTTTATCTGACCTGCTTTGAATTGGGATGTGTGTTGGGCTGGCTCTCACTGTTGTCAATTTAGGAATGGCTCTAAAGGGAAATGAAATAGGCCACTAGTGCTGTGATGTACAGTAAGAGATGTGGCGCCTTTCCCAAGAACGTAAACAAGTGTAAAAATTCTCTGTACAAAGACAGAGCCTCGGTCAGTAATTTGCTTTAGATACCCATCCAGTTGGGAGTTTTGCATCCCTGGGAATGAGAGCCAGGAGCCAATGCAAATSCCGGCAGTTCAGCTAATGAGCAGGAACTGGCACTGATACAGATGCCACCCACAGGTTCAGACTGACAGTAGTTTTGCTCTTAGCTGCTATTTATAAAATGTGCTGTTGAGGATCACTGCTGCTTGGGTGGGTCATTTTCTTCTGAAGACCAAGCAATTGTGACCTGAACTTTTTCTTCTGACACACCTTTTGAACAGCAGATAAAAATATAAAGCAGCCACTCATTTAGAGCACACCAAGCTGGCAAGTTAAAATTTCACTAACCAGAGCTACCAAAAAGCTGATTCAGAAAAGAGAAACTTCACTGTATGCAGGCTTGTCCAGGACCTGTGCAGATAGTCAGTGGCTGAAGCCCAAGCTGCTGGTTTTGTTCTGCTCTTTGGGCTCACAGTAGCTAGTTCAAAATTAATCCTTGAATATGTCAAGTGCATAGTAATCCTGTATTGGACTGGATCTTCCTTCCTTGGACTTGGAAGCATGACAAATTTTGTCTTTAAATTATGTCTTTGAAGGAATTTATACTGGAAATAATTCCACTGTGGTAGACATTTCTAAATTGCATGGTTGTTTTTAAACTGCTCTGTGACTGGGTATTATTGAAACTGCTTCTTGTCTATTTCTTTGCTTGTTTATTTTCATTTTTATTTTTGGATGARTATAAGGAGGTGTACCTATCATTTTCCCTATGTCCCCCTGTTATTTACTAAAGTTGTATAAAAAATMCGAAGAAGAGACTGACCTTGGACAGGATATTTTGGGGTTTGTTCAGATCTTGAATAATTCATCACTTAGGTGTAAGACTGACACACAGGTATTAATGTAATGCAGATACTATCAGTGAACCTGGATAGATATTWATCTTATATTCAAATACTTAGCCTTGTTTGAAAGAGCTCCTTGCAACAAATGATTGACTGAAAGGCTGGCTGGCTGTGCAGCAATCAACCTGAAACTCACTCTGAAGAATACAGCACTCAGGGACAGTTTCTAAGGTGAACAGCTCCTGCTGTGCTTTCAGGAGGCTTTGTGCTCATGCAGTCTTCAGTTGACAAATGTTGATTCTGTTAAGTTATTTATKATGTTTTGAGTTTCCAAAAAACTGAGCCTTTTATCAGCTGATATAATGGCAAAAAATAATTCTATTAAACTCCACTAGGGTTTTTTTTCATGGCAAGAAAATTGCTAAAAGATAGGATTAACTGAGAAATKAACTCCCATGTCTGGCTGATAGGTGCATAGGAGGATGCTAAATATAGAGAACTTTCTCTTAGAAGAAAAATAAAAGTGATTTGAAAATCTTCACTTTGGTTATTGTTCACCTAGGCAGGGAATTCTAAAGAAACAACTAAAGGGCAACATTAAGGGAAGTCTAAGCAGGAAAGGTGGTTTCTTCAGTAAACCATCAAGGCTTTCTCTTTATGTAGAATCTGAAATGGCAGAATTTCATGCTAAATTTTYGTGGTGATGAAAAATTCTATTTGAACCACATTAAAAGCAGCAGCTTTTCAAGAAAGTATAAACTTTTTTTTGTTCCTTTTTGTTAAAAATTAAGATGTTTTTATTAACATTTTCCAGAAAATAAAGTCAGTGTGACTGAGACTGCCAAAAGTACAGCAGTAGTTAACATTACCAGTAACATTAAAAAGATGAGGCCAAGAGGAGCTGGAGACTTGTACAGGCATTCTCTTTTCTTTCAGCAGGAGCACAGGGACTGTGCTCAGATGGACCTTTCAAAACTCATGTCTTGTCTGCAAGTGAAATTGGTCTTGCCACTGGTTCTGGGTAGGATGGGAAATAGTTCTGAGCTACAGTAGTGCAGTTTTGATAGGTACTGAACTAATGCCTAAACCCTCTAAAGCCATTGTGTAAAAYAACATAGCAGCCTCAGCTCAATTCCCAGTAATCTGGGAGACACATTAAACCAAACACCATCACASTGAGACTGAATTTAGGCTTTTGTTGTGAGCTATAGTTAGGTAGCTATTCCCTTTGGAAGGACAATTTATGGACAGAAAGTTGAACTTGAAAGCCTGTCTTTTAACTATCACAAAACTCTTGGTTAAGTCAAATAGTGCTTTGTTTATGCAAGGTGTGCAAAAACAGTAAGCACACTCTGAAGTATTTTTCATGTGAAAAGTGGTTCACGTATAGACCTGAGTGCTCACAATGTTCAGCAATTGTTGCAGCAATGAAATTGCCTTCTTAGAAAAAAAATGAGGGCATGTTGACAGGGGTTTGAAAATAACTGGCAATTGGCCTGCAGCAATGTGGGATAGGGTAACAATCATAGGAGACTGCAGGATACAGTATAAGGCAGAAGAGTAAGCAGCCTGTTGTCAGAAAGCTATGAAATCCTGTGGCAAGATGTAACAGTTCTGCTGGATGTGCTGTTCTGGCTATTCCATGTTTAGGATATGCATACAAATGTGAGCTATGTTAGTTCTTCAGCCACGTCTCAGAGATCAAGAATTTCAAAATTCCACTATAATGTGGAGCAGTTTGGCTGTGCCCTAAGCCCCGTAACACCTGTAGCTATCTCTAAAGCCATCTTCATCTCTCTTTGGCAGAAATATTTACAGAGAAGTAGGGGAAGTTGCCAAATCTTTTCTCACCGTTCCGGCACTGCTCAGCTTCACAAAAGCGGATCCCATCAGGAACACATATGAATGAGTGGATGTGGGGAACGCCATCCTGCAGTTTAGAGCAGCCGTGTAAGTAACAGTGTCATAAATATTCAGTTAATTTGAAAACAGGGGTTAAGAGAGTGAGGAATGACAACAGCATAAACAAGTGGAATGTATTAGTATATTTTAGATACCTCATGCAGACGTTGCCATGGTACTTCTTGAACGTAGGCTTTGACGTACCCCACTTGGCAAAATGTTGTCATGAAGTGATTGCAGATATCTATGGCAAATTGTTCTAAACTTGGGATCTAAGACAGCAAACAGTATAATTAGAAAGAAGCAACTACYTCGTGTACAAAAGTAGATTTTTCTGGTTGTTGTATTAGGGAAGAATCAGTGTGGTTAAAAACACATTTCTCTTATTCCTGGCTTGGCTCACTGTACTCAGTCATTTGACCAGCTTGCAGCATACACTGCAAATAGCARCTACAGTTGTGTCAAAAATCTCCCATTCTGTGGCACAGTGAGCTGCAGGACTTGGACTGAGAGAAACTGCTGCTGGAGCCTTAAGCTTTGAGGATATTATGCTGAAAAATAATTTTTAGTGATTATTCTGATTGATACAGTGATATTCTAATTAAGTTTTACAGGGTAAAGACGGGATTTCATTATGGAGAAGTTTAGTGCTACAGATTGTCATTATGATACATGCAATTGATGCCAGTAAGAGCACAAAAGAATTAAGAGGAGTCTCATACTTTGAGACCTTCTGTTTAAAATACAGGAATAATGCAGGATTATGGGCTATTGAATTTAAAAAGAAAAAAGAGATGGCTTTTATATGACAAATCCACAAAATAACAGTGCTAGGTCTTGAGAAAAAAAGGCTTTGGAAAACTAAGAAAGAGTCCACAGGACAAGCATTGGAGGAGGAAAATATCTTTCTCAAATCACTGAAAAGGACTTTGAAAATTATCTGATAYGCCAATTGCCAATTGAAAATTAAAAGTTAGTAGACTAAATACTTCCAAATGAACTTGTAAGAAACAGCAAGGCTAGTTAAAAAATAAAAAGATACCCCATTTTTTTTGGCCAACACAAGGACAATGTTCTTTATGGTGTCTGTAGGTATCACAAGAGAGTTGTTTCCATCCAGGTACTCCTGAGGAGAAGTCAGCCGGAGATGTGCACACACTTCCACTTCTTTAACAAACTCCTTCTTTCCCTCTTTATGAAGGCGAAGGAACTTAATKGTATTCTTGCCATATTCACAGTTGAGGACTTCAAGGTCCTTGATCTGCAAAGAAAGCRTGGCAGTTGTAAAGAAACACAGTGGAAGCCTGAGTTATACTGTCACRAAACATAAACAGTGCTTATGRACTTTATTTTTGTGGTTGCCTATGATAATGAGAATATTTTTGTTAGAAATGGCGGAGTCCTGATGGGAAGAAAAAATGCTTTAGGAGACTGTTACTRTATTAGCAGCAGCTGTGATAAAATTCAGAAATTTTCTGGGGGACAGATTATAGAGCAGGAGTCACAGTGAACTAATTTCTCATTTGTCATCTTTGAMTTAGTCCTGCCTATATAGACCTTCACTGAGTCTGTTCTCTGGGATCATTGGGTTTGTTTGCATTGAGCCCTGTTGCAAGTTTTACCCTGCTTCTGTCAAACACACCCCGGTTACACGTCTCTTACGGTGTTGGAGAGACTGCACTAGCAAGGTGACAAAATACTGCAAAGGTTGTGAGGATTTCTGTTGTGCTAAAATATCCAGAGTTCATTGCACTAGACTTTCCTTGAGGCTGAAATATCCCATAATCGGGATCAACATCTTTTAATGTAAATCAGCCCCTTTTAATGCGAGCATAATGAGGACAGAGAAAGACCATTTTACACACCAAAATATAAATGAAAGCTCTTTAAGTGTAAGTTGCTGAAAGATTATGAGATGTGAAATTGCTCAATTCAGACATGTTTGTTCCGAAGAGAAATGTTGATGCATTTAAAAGATAGTTTAAAAAAGCATTAGCTAGTTGCAAGTAAAGTACTTTGGTTCAGAGATCAGAGCGTTTGTGCAGCTCTCAAGCCCCACGGTGACCGAAGGTGCCCAGCGCCGGAGCCGGGATCGGGCGGGGCCCAGCGCTCACCGGGAACTTCTCTGCACGGAAGGGACTGCGCTCACCACGAGGGCTGGGAGGAGGAGTGGTGAGATGGAAATTATGTTGTTCGCTTGTCTGAACACCAGCGTTTTTGAGATAGTTGTAAAAAAGAAACTAGTACATCAGTCATGCAGCAGTAAAAAGAAAACAAAAAGCGTTTCGGTATCTGCAGCTTGGAGTTGTTTTTTGTTTTGTTTTGTTTTGTTTTTAAGCAGAATCCATGAATATTCTAAATGGTTAATTTATTTTTTTGGTCGAAAACAAAACTTGTCAACTGTCATTTTGCTGCCCAAAGAAATGGTGGGCAGTTTCCCGCAGCTCCCAGGAGCCCTTGTGCCTCTGTCTGTGGCAGTCCCTGTTGTGGGAACCCGGATCCAGGCAGCGGCCGGGGTGTGCTCGCTGCTCCGTGGGCAGGAGCTGACACTAACACAGCACAACTTCTCCTTTTAGAGCCTGCTCAGGGCTCGCCCTGCGCAGCCGGGAAACCAAAATGCCCGCGGGATCTGCATGGTGCCACGCTGCTTTGCTCTTACTTCTCTCCGCCGTGCCCCTGTGGGCCGCTGAGATTTCCTGCAGGAATGAAGACGGGCAGACGGTGGATTGGTGAGTAAATACCGTGYTGAGTGAGTAAATAAAAACACTCGMGATTAAACCGCGGGGAGTGGGTGGGTCACCGAGAAGCAATGCAAGGCAATCCCTGGTTCAGTCCTGTTTGCCTGTGAGWAGTGGCTGAATTGTGCGCTTTAAAACCTAGGATAAGTTACTGAAATGTGATTTCATTTCCCCGAACCAACCGCCGTGCTGCATTATGACTAACTGCACAATAATCGCCGTTTTACACAGCGTTCACGTCTCATGATCAAAGGGAGCATGAGCTGTGTTGGGGTGCCAAGGCTGCGCTCRCCCGCGGGGCACCGGCCGGGCTCCAGCACAGGCTCGGGGCAGGGGAGAAACAAAMACCGAGCGGGGAAAAACCGAGCGGGGAGAGCGCCCGGTGTGCCCTTGGCCGGGTGCTGAGCTGCAGCGTGGGGGACTCGGCCCTTGCTGCCGGCACCGAGGGGCAGCKGAGGCTGAGCCCCCAATCCCCTGTGCCCTGTGACCGCAGCCGAGCTCTGCCCCTGCCCGCAGCTGCCGTCACGGTACCGCCGGTGCCATCCCACTGCCAGCAGCCAGCCCAGCTTTGGCTATTCAATGATTAATTGGATTAATGCKCTTTGAAGATGAAAAGACGCAAAATACAATTGCATGGTATTCAGCCCAGGTTTAAAAAGGTGACGTGAGGGCTCTTTAAAARCAGCACAAAAGCTTGCTGAAGATAAGTACCAACCAATTTCAAAAGAAAAGTGTTTTTCWCATGAGCAASGATTAATTTGGMTAMAAGGGCTGAAGAAGAAGGCCCATCCCTTCCCATGCACACAGAGCTAACTGCAGGGAAGGCAGGTGCTCCTCACACCACAGGCAGGCTGCTCAGGCAGGAGCACAAAGCTGGCTTTGCTCTGTATTGGCATATCATCAAATGTATGAGGGTCTAGCTCTTGTCACCTTTGCCAGGGCCMTTCTGGATAATGTGGGTTTTTTCAGGAGTTGGACTCTTGGTTGATGCAGCTACCCAGCAACTTTGAACTATGAGATAGTTCCTTCCTCCCTTAACTGTAATTATTCCTGAATGAGTTCTTTTGCGCTAAAGCTAAAAAAAATTTTTAAAAAGTATAAAAATATATACAAACACAAAAAATAAAGTAAAAAGAACTTTTATATCCATTTCTTAAATGAAGACAATTTTTTGTGTTAAAAATCTCTGAGAAATTCTTTGAAAGCTGTGACTAAGAGTAATTCATGTGTGAATGCCAGTAACRTGTGGCTGTTCCAGGAGGGAACTTGGGGGTCTGCACAGGCAAATCCATATTCCCTTTTGCAAATTCAGGTAGGGCAGGGGGATTTCCTGCTCTGATCAAACAAAAAGAAACTTGCCTGTCTGCCAGGGTCATCCTAGTTTATTAAGGAAAGCCTTTGGATTCTGGATTTTGTTGCTATGAAGCTGACAGGAGAAGCAGAACTGAAACTGCTGAGAAGAGACTTCTCTTCAACAAAATATGTCAATGCTCTTTCAAACAAACAGCCCTGCAAGTGTTATTATCAGTTAGCAAGAGGTTTATGTGAGTTTCTACTCTGCAGTGGTTTCAYCCTGCGGTATTCCATAATTGCTCAATATTCACACACCCTTTAATTTGCCGCTGAACCAGAGGAATCACTTGCTTTATCTGASCTGATCCCATCTGTGCTCCCCAGCTGGGCTGGCAGCTCCTCCCCGTTTGCAGTGCCTGGGCAGGCAGAAGTCTCTGCTGTGTTTTCATTCCTCTCAAGATCTCATCCCACCATCCTCAGTGCACCTCGGACAGGGGCTGCAGGACACGTGGCCATAGGATTGGCTCTCTAAGGGGGCAGAGCCGCTCCTTTATTCACCCAAACTCAGTGCATTCTGTGGGAAGCCTTCCTCGCCAAATAAAAGCCAAAACTGCTTTCTGAGAAGTGTTGAGTCAAGGACTGAAGGCATGGTGTGCATTGTTTGGAGTTTTTTTTTTTTAATTGGGGGGAGGGGAAGAAGTAAAGATGTGATTATTTGTAAGYTGGTGTTCAGTCACAGGTAAAGAATGTGACAATGCTAATCGGATCTAAGCGGATTTGCTTTTCCTTGGTTCTCAGGAAAATAAYTTTTACTCTGCTCCCACAAATGCCTAAGCTCTTGAGAAATTTCCCGTGCACAAATTGCAGTAAAGATTTTATAMAACTTTAATTGGTAATACACTCAGCTGGCTTTCTGGAAAGAGCCAAAACATGTATCCACTGGGAATTGGCAGGCAATTTCCTGATAGCTCAAAGACTAGCATTTCGTAAGCACACATGCTAAGGTGGATTTGTCAGATGCAAAGCTGTAAACACTTGCAGAGCATAAATCTTTCAGTACATTTCAAAGTAGTTTGGAAAGGCTTCATCTACTAATTCCTGGATCAGCTCATGCTACTSTAACTACTGCTATTCTGCTCCTTTCCAAATCTTTATTTCAAATAAGGGGACTGTAGTGATTCCTSGTGCATGTATAGGCACAGACATCTCTCCCCAGCCTAGTTATATAAATCACTCTCTTTGTGATCTGCCATCAGAAATTATTTCTCCTGAGTTGCTTCTGGGAGATCATTCAGWCAGTGGCAATGCAGGTGGATTACCAGGACCACCACTGGTGTGTGTTTCTCTTCTGTCTGCACATGTACGTTTCCCATGGATTAAATGTTCTTCTCTAGCAGAATGTTTTCCTGCCCCTTCTTACCTGTGTTCAGAGATATCTTTTGTGACCACCTTGAGTCAACTGGGCAAGGTTTACTCCTCCTGATGTACTTGAGGGGTTAAGCACAGTCTGCATTTTTGCTAAGTAGAATAGATTGAAAATAATGCCACTCAGTCCTTACTGCTGACATTAAGTTACTCAATTACAGCACTCAGAGAAAGTGGCTGAGTTAATTATATTGTGATTAATCCCATGGATTTACGCACTGGGAAAATTTGTTTACTATATCAGGAACCTTAGTGTCAACTGAGCCATTTACTGACAATATTGAGTACTTCACAATTTTGAAGAGATTTGTGTTCTTGGCTAATGGTTTGAAAATTTCCAGTCTGCAAGAGTTCATCAGAGTGCAAGCCTGTTATGAAAMGTAGGATTGGAACAACATTTTATTACATTGCTTTATACTTATTTTTGTGATTGTGGTATGTATGAACATAATAGAATGCATTTTTTAGTTTCAATACATAATTTTGTCTGTTTCATATAAAGCCATATTTAGAAAACACATAAATTGTTTGACCTGGGGGAATGTTAGACTGGGTTTGGGACCTGAGGTTTTTTACCAGAACCAGGAACAACAGGGARTTCATAGACTCATCTAAGACTACCTCAGAGTGGTATCAACAGCATTCTGTCCACAGCAACAGGAGTTCGGTGCTGAATCAGCCTCCCTTGCTTGCTGAGAAGCAGAACCAATTTGTCTGCAGCAGGGAGTGTGCTGCCACACTGCAGCTGGTTCCTGGGCTGGCTCATTGCTTTGAGGCTGGGATGTCCACTCTGCTCCCCCTCCAGCCCAGGCATCCCCACATTCACCCTGCTCTTCCACAGGGAAGGAGATACTGATTTACACATTCAAACAGGGCGGTGGTAAAAAAATAATTGCTCTCCACTGTTGCAGGTTCACTCTTTACAAGTTGCCAAAACATGCCAAAGGACAGATTCCTGCGCTGGGACTGGAATACCTGTACATGGATGCCCTGGCCCCGCAGTGGCAGCTTGGTAAATACCTCATCAACATGACACAGGGGGCTCTGGGACAAACACTGCAGCAGCTCTATGAGGCCTATGAATCCAAGGCAAGTGACATTTMATTTTTCTTAGTATGGTTACTTGATATTGTTTGCAGATGAAATGAAAGCAGCCAAAGTAAGCACGTAGAGATAAGGCCAACCTGGCTGATAGATCTACTAAAACACATCAAGGGGAGGAGCACCCTGACWGCTGGGCAGATTATCTGCAGTTTTGGCTACAATTAGGAATAGTCCTCAAAATTCTTTTTCTAGTCAAGCTTTTCATACAGTTAGAGTAATGCCCATCAAAAAAGGAGTATTCACTTGTCTTTGTTTCTGTAATTCGTGTTGAGTAATATCTGGGTCTGTGAACTCAGMCCAGGGTCAGTGGTAATTACTACAGACACTTGTCCTAAGCCCTCCTGTGTGCAGGTRTTTCACATCCTGACTCAAATCAAATCTGTGTTTTGCTCTTCCCCCTGAAATCACTGGGACTGCTCCAAGCAGTGATATGCTGCTTGTTGGCCTTCKTTTTTTGCTCCCACAGTCAGACACCTCACTGATATTTGTGTGAAGTGATTGTAAAATATTACAAGATCTGCCTATAATTATTTTTTCCCRTCCAAGTACTATTGCTGTGAGTCTGGGTGTGTCTGCTTTCTGCTGTGGCTTTGTGGTAAGGTGCAATCAATTTGTATGTAAAAGAGACTTGCAGAAGTCACTCAATGTTGGCAGTCCAGGAAACTCCTGTTCCAGGTGTCACTGTAGCTGTAATAAACTGTTTACAAACTCAGTACATCGGGAGGGCAAGTGTGCCCCAACCCCTTTGAAGTTCTCTATTCAGGGGAAATAAGGTGTGGCCATATGCAAACATTTTGCAAAAAAAGCTTTAATTGGTTTCCCTTCGTAAGWACATTTGTCATGCTTATTTTTACTCAGCAAATATTTTCACCGGATCTGATTGCTAAATCAGAGAGAGGCCCAGAAAACAGAGAGGGGAACTTCTTTGCAAGCAAACACACTCTAAGCCCATGTAAACTGCCTTAGCAAGCACATTCAACCCTTGGGAAAGGGCTACTGCAGCGATTGAGAGAACTTCCATGTCCTGTCAGCTGAGGCCCTAATGCTGCGTCTTCAGGTTTATATTACTGTAATATCTGTGGAGATTGGGTCAGCTGAACTGGGAGCAGRATTATGCTCGTGATGTTTGCACAGAGGACTCCTGAATTCTTTCTTCCGTTCCCAGCAGACATTTGCTGAAATGCCTTCCTTTTATTGAATGTCGTGTTTCCCTGCAGAGGAACACCACTGCATATGTGATATACAACGATGAGATCCCTGAATCAGACTCCAAAGCGGGGAAATGTGGACACACCAAAGGTACAGGGAGAGTCCCAACTGTTTTCTCCTTTCTAAAGTTGTGGATAGCATCTGCTTGTCTGYCTGTCTATCTGCATATCTAAAATTCCTGCCTAAAGCAAAACTGAAGAGTGATTTGCATGGTGTGTGGTTTGTTGTAGTTACCCATGCTGCAGCTTCTGTTTTGGTTTTGCTATGTCTGTGCTGTGTGAAGTATCTTGGGGCCTACGGACTCTTTGTTTCAAACTAATACAGGTCCTTTTAGCAAATACAAATCCCATCATCCTGTGCCTGATGGCAAAGCAGTACAAGATATGCAGGAAAGACACCCTCAACAGAAACCCCTCCAAACTTTCTGGGACAAGAAACTGCTGCCAAGATCATGGAAAGCACTATTGGATGCAGTTACAGAAAATCAAGACTTTAAATAAGAGTGAACCTCAGTGGAGGTCTAAATGTTCCCCTGAGGAAGCARCTGGGGTTTGCCCAGCCTGATGTGGAAATGAGCACATTTTGCAGGGCTGTGTTTTTAGGCTGCAGCAGTGGGCACAGCCCAGGAGCCATGGTCCATCCTGGAGGGGAGAAGCACAGTCTATCTCTGTGCTGCTCCCCCATGAGGGGAGAATTTGGTCTGTGAAAGAAGACTTGCTATTGACAGAATCTGTTTSTCTTTATCCAGTGAATATTTGAAGTGAAGAAAGATGAACAATGGATAGAGGGCCACAACCACTAAATAATCAGAACTTGTRGAGACAAAATTTGATCAGAGAGAGAGGTTTTGAAAGGATTTTTTTCAAATGAAACATGGTGACAGTTTGGGTTAGTCTRTGCAGGAAAGACTTGATGCCATTTTAATACAATATTAGCATCTCTTACAGTCTAGCAATTGACTCTAGAAGAGTTTACTGTAGGTATTAACACACTGAAATGTCTGCAGCAGCAAAACCAAAGTAGGGCACAGCTCTATCTTCTCAGGGTTTTTTTCCTCCTTAATTCATTTGCAGTACTTTTTTCTTTTTTTTTCTTCTTTTTTTTTTTTTTTTTCCCACAGGATTTCTGCTCTTGGACAAATCACAAGGCTTCTGGGTGATTCACAGTGTGCCCCTGTTCCCTCCCAGCCCTGAGGATGGTTATGGGTATCCACCTACTGGGGAGTCCTTTGGACAGACAGCCATCTGTATAACCTTCAAATATGACCAGTTCACAGAMATAGGTATGAAAACCTTCTCCTTAAGAAAGCCTTTGTCCCACTACACCTCTCTGATTGTTTTTCTTGAGGCTTCACCTCAAAAATTCCTTGTTCTTGACCTTTGTTGTCATATTGGGAAACCAAGTGGGGCCTGGAAGGAGCATTCTGGGCTCAAGCTATGTTTATCCAATGATTTCCTGTGTGAATGTGGGAAATTCGCTCTTCCACTCTGCTTTCATCTCCCCATGGGGACTATTAAGATAATAATAGTCACAAGTGCATATCAAGAGTAAACTCAGTCCACGCATACAAAATGCTTTGGAAATACAAAGTAGGATGATTAATCATTTTTAACAGTAATAGCTCATTCAGCAAGTCATCTGCTGTTCTGAAAATGTAAGGCAACCACTGCTTGAGCTAAGYAGTAGCCTTGATTCATCAGAAATATGAAGTATGGAATAAATATTCACCTGGAATTTTACCAGGTATTTCTTTGCTGCATAAATTGCCAATACTAAATATACAAAAAACCCTAAACCCAGCAAACTGTGGCTGCAAGATTCAGAATTATCTGGCAGCTGGTACTGGAATCCTGAAAAGGGACTATTGACTTTACAAGAAGTCATCCTGGCATGTTTCCCAACTCTTTTCACACTGTTTTTCACCTTTTTCTCAGTTAAAAACCTCAAGTAATATTAATGAAATATACATGCTGTGCAAATTGCCAGGCTGGACACACCTCAGAGCTGTCTAACCCAGGTTCCTGTTTGTGGTAATGCATCTATGCATGTGTGCAGGGAAAGAGGACAAGAAAATGAGATGCACACATTAATGCTTTTTCTGCCTCATCCTCCCATCTTTTGCTAATCTGTGGTTCGGGAGTTTCCTGAGGCAGAAATACTGGAATGTTCCTGATGGACTGGTCTTCCATGAACTCATCTAATGAGCCCATTTGTTCCTTTGCTCTTTATATCCATGGCAAGGACTTCTACAGTTAAGCTGTGCACAGTTCAGGAAAACAGATTTAATTTGCAGATTCAGTCCAGACACTGTGAACGTCAAGGTCTGTTCTCCCTARACCCAAACGAGACCCTTTGGCAGCCATTCTGTTTGCATTTGGCTTGGCAGCTGTAACTGACTGGAAGCCCCTCCTGTAAACACAGACAGGTTTGGATCTACTCGTGGTGTCTGAGTGCTGTGTGACTGCAGAGAGGCTCGGAGATGAGCCTGGGTGGAAGTGGCAGTGAAACAAGACCACCAGTTAACAGTTCTGCAGTTCTGCTAAGAATAATGAGGTGTTAGTGGAAAACCTGAGTGTACTCTGCCAGCCAGTCTTTGTGCTGCAGGACCAGTCAGAACACAAAGCAATTACACAAATTTTTGGTTGCTAAAATAAGATACTTTGACACTTAACTCTTCCAGAAGACAGCCTGTGAAGTTTAAGAAGGTTTTAGGTTTCCTGTCTAAGACAGAACTTTGCTTTCTTGATTGCTTTGCTTTAACCCATTTTAATTCTGACTGTGTTTGTTTCTGTGGGTTTTTCTCAGACCAACAGATGCTGATTTATAATCCAGGAGTCTACAGCTGTTCCATCCCTGACATCTTCCAAGCTGATCTCCCAAATCTGCAGAAGCTCTGTGCAAAGTCCAGGCTGCCCTCGGTCCCCTTGCGCCACCTCTCCAAGCTCCAGTCAGCTCGTGGGGAAACCTTTCTCCACTTTGCAAAGTCACACTTGTTCATAGATGGTAAGAGAACCTGTTGCTCTTTCTATAATACATTCTCAATTAATTCTTAAAATATGACTTAATAAATTATTTTAAATTTCATATTTTCTCTGAGGGAGAAAAAAGAAGTTCAGCTTCAGAAAGAAATGTCACAGAGGGCAAGGATGGTGTCCCATCTTAATGTTCTCTCTGCCCCACAAAGCAAAAAGCTGTCTGGTCTATCCTAAAGTTTTCAGCAATGAGATTTTCAGAAAATTTATTTCCCATTATTCAACACTAACAACAAAGAAGAAATATGGGGTTCGAATCATCTGGGGTTTTTTTGTTATGAAGAAGACTTGCAATTTTTTTTGTCCTTTCCCTTTTTTCCTGCTGTTGGTTTGTAATATGTTTTCTGGAAGGAGAAAAAGTAGAAATGAACTTCTGAAAAAGTCAAAATAAGGGGAGGGGACAAAATCCCCTCTGGCTGACTTTATGCATTACAGTGACATTAACACAGTTTAGATGATGCTTTTCAGTCTAACATTAAACACTGATTTCCTGCACCCTGTGTTATTCYACAGATATCTATGTGGCCTGGATGGCTCAGGAGCTGGAGACTGATTTGTTGGCTGAATCCTGGCAGCGCTCTGGCCAAAAGCTTTACTCCAATTGCTCTTTCGACTACCACGTCTACAACATCAATGTCATAGGGATGCCATTGAACTCCACCTTTCATTCCATTAATGATCATTCCAAATGGGCTGTTTCAAGGGAATACAAAGATCAGTGGACCTGCATTGGGGACTTGAACCGTGCTGCTGAGCAAGCTTGGAGGAGTGGTGGGTTCATCTGTACCCAGAAYGAACAGATCTACAAAGCCTTCAGGCATCTGATAATCCACTACGAAAGCTGCACTTCTGCTCCCAGGGTGCTGTAAGAAACCATTCCTCCCAGCCAGCACAGCCCTCGTTRTGTGGAAAGTGTAGGGAATGTCTCCCTTGGAGGGCTCCTCTCACCATCCACACTGGAATGGGACAGGAGGGATGCTGCTGCACGAGGCTGCACCAAAGCACATTTCTGTGAAAACCCTGCAAAGCCATCCCTGGGCAGCTTGGGAGTGGGGCTGGATAGGGGATGGGAGGGACARCAGAAACCTCTCTCATGAGCTGAGCTGTTGGGACTGGGCAGGTAGCAAGGGATAAGCACCCCAAAATAWTTCAAAATTGCCCTGGATTTCTGGCACTGTTGAGATAAATCACAGCATTTCTGTTCAGCTTGAACTGAATTGCTAGAAGAGCTGAGAAAATTAGATCCAGACAGGGAGATGAGTACGTCTGTGGACAGAAATAATTTTTACATGATTCATTTTTAGAGAATAAATGAACTTTGAATCATCTTTAAATTATCTGTAACCAATAGCTTGGGAATATTTCTAGTGCTTTTAATCATGTACAGCAATTTTATAAACAAATAAATATGAATAGGAATATTCAAATATGAATAAGCAAAATAAAGAGAAAAAATATTCTGTTGACAGTCTCCCTCTTCCATCTGTATAGGTATTTGTGATTGGTTACAATGTTTTATATTGCCAAAGGAAAAAATGCAGACTATTAGGAAAAAAATAAAAAGAAAAGAATATATTTGAAGAAATATGTCATTTAATCTACAAACAAATGTGGCTGTTAATTTTCAGTATTTTCAATATTTCCAGTCTCAGGCTTTGGACCTGAAGTTTTCATGGACTTTCTATAAGGACAAAGCTGATCTGCAAAATCCTGATACTCTTGTGTTCAGATGTCAAAAGTGTATCTCTGTTTAATATGTTCCTAAATATGTATTTCTATCTCATTCTCCTTTTTTTTCCCTCTTTTGCTAATGTAACTCCAGTCTGAAGAGTTGTCTGTCTCATTGTATTTGTTTTCCTGTGTTCCTAGTCCCTACCACAGGTTCTCCACAAACAATGTCTTAAAAGAAAGCAGGTATAAAGAAATGCCCCAGAACCACAAGAGGTTGCCAAAGATTTCCTTCCCTTTTCAGCCTGAACAATCAACCAAACAACAAASTGTACAAAAGTGYCAAAGAAATTAATTTCAGAAAATAYTTGTGYATTTTTCKTGAAGAAATAGAAATCATTTATATGGCCTGCATAATGAAGGAARYTGTACAGGAATAGCCAGTCYGGACCAAAGGTAAACCCGAGTGTCRTAGYTCAGGGAAAATAGGGKTGTTGCTTAGATATCCTGCACACCTTTTTTTTCTTTTCTCCRCATAAGACCCAATGACATTTGATAATTTGCTTCATAATGTTCTTTCTCTGATACTTGTCCAATTGTTCTACATATATACGTCTYGTTTTGCTAGCTGTGGTCAAGCAACACCTGTTGTGGCAGTGAAAATTGCCAGTGACACAGAACACGGTGCCATGGGATGGTGGGGCATCACTCAGAAAAGCCAAGACAAAATTAATTATTCTTGCCTATCTTTTCATGACAGACACAAACCTAACCTGTCTGTCTGAGCTCTTGTATCTTGCCCACAGTTTGTGTAAGCATGACCTCAGTGTTCAGGACTGGCAAGAAATCCTCTGCTGGAGACGGCGCTGGCAAGCTCCGTGTGTGTGTCAGAGAGCACCTGGGTCTGTGGCACAACCTGTATTTCTCGTGGTATTTTCTAATGCTGAGTCAMAGCATTTGGGTGCAATGTCTTGGGTTCAATAGCAAAGAGTCTCTGTCCCACTGGTTGTCACAACAGTGTTGCCAGCTCCCTGCTCCCCAGGCCAGCAGTTACCAGTGAATCTCTTGAAATAAGTGCTGATTGCTGTTCTTAGTTATTTGGTTGATTAATAGCTGTCATAAAGTTTTACAAGACTACTTAACCATTCCTCTTTCATTAGACCCAAGACTGGTTGCTTCCATTTTGGCTGTAACTGAGGAGGCAGAARGAGCAGTGGGAGATGCAGAGAAACAGCTGTACCGTACAGGACCACGAGCACCACAGCAGCCTGGCTGTGCACACACTCAGTGGTGTAGCAATAAAAAGGCTGCAGATCTGGTTCTCTCATTTTTTGACTGTAAACAGCTTTAATTCAGTTTTGCTTTTGTTGTGTAACTTCTGTATTTGCATATCCTAATATTTCTGCTACACATATTATGAAACATGGGCAGACACTGTTTCCCAAAAGAGGCTAATAACCAACGAAATAAACCGTGTAGGTTTTTAAAGGATTTATAACTCTAAGGCTTTCTTTGCAAATGCAAGACCATAAGCCACTTACTCAACCTCATATGTCCTATGTCCTCACCATGCCCTGTGATCAATTTTAATGTGAAATATTTACTGTCTGTTACCTATATATATATATATATATATATATATATAAAGTTTTAAAATTTCTAATACGCTGTTCTATTTTAAGATGCCAAACACTCAAGAAAGATCAGCCTGTCCCAGTGATCCTGTGCTGCCTCTGCTGCCCACTGACCCTTTTGACTGGACAGAGTGGTTCCTGCAGACAATGACATGTGGCATGGCCCCTCTGCAATTTCAGGGGAACCTGCTCAGCAAAACTGACTCTGCAAAAGGGCCCAAACACCRGACCTTGGCCTGGAGAGGGAAGAAATTGCTCTCTGCTCTGGAAACCTGGAGTCCCTTCTCAGCATGCAGGTTTGGCTATTCTGACCCTTGGGCTCTGTTCTAGTAAGACTAAATGAGAGCATTTATTATACATGAAAATTGTTTGCCGAGGGAGTAGGAGAGGCCAAAAGCAAACATTATTAATCCACTAAACATTACTGTACTGCAGCCAAGTTTGTAACAAACACAGCAGTAGGGGTGGTTGTTTGGTATAAATTGCCTTGTAATCATTTCCACAGGCCGAGGCTCGGTCCCAGCACGCCTGGCACACTGGCAGGGTGTAGGAAATGCAGACRCAGCCTCTCCAAATCCATCCTGACACATTTCCCCTTGCCAGGGTGTCTCCTGCCCTCCCCACAGCYACCACCATCCCAGAGCAAGGGCCTGCAAGGACTCTGCCTCCTTGACACTGCTCAAAACACCTGGCTGATTCTTCTGTAAACCCCTGTGTCCCTGAGGATGCTTCTCTAAAGCTGTAATTGTGTGTCAGTAGGGCAGTGGTTTGCTGTGTTGGAAAAGGCAATTTTACACAGAGTTAGTGCAAGAGGTCAAAGGATTAGACAATGAAAAAAAAGCTAAAAATGTAAAAAAAACCTGAAGGGTTAAAATTTAACCTGTGTGAAGTTTAATTCCAGCTGTGCAATTAAAATACTGGAAAGCAGCCAAAGGGATTGCAGCCTGAGCCCACTTCACAGGGCAGCCTTTGTGCTGGAATTGCTTCTGGTGTCTCCACAATGACTGGGCATACCCTGAGCTCTCATGAAGGGAGTGATGAGCAATGTATTGGAGAATTTCTCAAGGGCACTGGGGCTCCATGCCAGCTGCCTRMCAGCAATCAAAGGRAGCTTTGGGAGAAATTTCTCTGAGSTGGGAACTTTCTCAAGGCATGCTAACATGGCTTGGTGCTTGGTCTTGTCACAGGGGTCCACAGGCGTACTTCTKACTAATGAAATGCTCAATAACATCATTGTGAGAAATTTTCTTAATGTATCAAAGCATCCTCGGCGTTATTAGCATAGTCACATAATTATCCACAGAGAAACTTACACCCATATGTTAACGCCCATAAATTATTATATGGATTTCTTTTAAACTTTTATTTTCAGTTTCTGGGAAGGATACATCACTGGGTACTTAATATAGTAATTGCTTCAGAAGGTGTAAGCTGCCCATGCCTGCAGTAAAATGTTCAGGAGGCAGAGTGGTGCTGGCAGCGTCATCTGAAAGCTCRGTAAGCCAAAGCCTAACTGTGCTCAGAGGGTGATGCAAGAATATGATGCACCTCTTTAGTTTCACAAGAGATTTCTTTAAAAGGAATTAAAAAATGTGAATGGAGAGGAACAGGAATATATTAGGCTAAGTGTGAATTGCTTCCCTTTGTAGCAGGGAAAAAATACTTCATAGTACAAGACAGAGAATCTGATCTGAAATTCCAAGCTAGGATAGCAATATYGGTGTGTTCTAGATATCCTGACACCCTGAGTAGCATAGCCATATCTGACACTTTTTTATTTAGACTGGAGATACCAGATTAAAGATCTAATCAGCTGAATTTTCTCATAATCCTCACAAATTTTGCATTAATGTGGTAAAAAAAGTTGTGTTTGCACCTAGAAATCAATAGCAGCACTTTCAGATCTTGGCTTCAGACAGCATAATAYAAATTTTAAATGCAGAGCCATTGTATGCTTATCTTTATCATCTTTAAATGATTTATCCCAGTGTTGAGAGTATGCTATTCTATGCATATATGTGTTATGTTCACATTGCTAAAATGGTACACTACAAAACACTAGGATTTGAAAAATATATCTTGTTTTTTTATAAATAGCTACATTACACTTTTAGTCAAGTTTTTTTAGTAAGTCCTTTTGATTTTATTTTCTTCATTTGYGTTTGCTTGACATTTCCACACAAAGTATCTGGTGACTATGCTGATTCTCCTGTAGCAGGGATGAAAGTAAGGAACATCCTTCCCCTCCTTTGATCACTTTGCATCTTGGGAACTGCAAAGTGATGTTCAAATATTCAGAGCTTACAGGAGCAGAGTGTAGTATTTAATGTTGCATGCTGGAGTGCTGGCAATTGCTACAAGTGGCTCACTGTAGTACAGTAGTACCAGCATTGCCTCATTTATTAATCATAGAAATGTTGCATGCAAATTAGCCACAGAGTTGTGTGTTATAATACAGTAATCCAAAAATCTGTCTTCACATGTATTAATGTCTTCAAATTAAAAGTATCACATTATAGCACTGCACGGTTTCCCCATTACATTTCAAAACCTGCCAAAAGCTCACTAAAAGCTGTGTCACTCAGTGTTTTCTTTTTGTTGCTTACTTCTGACTTTCTAAAGAGTGAGAGTGTTTAGCTCCAGGGCACTTTTGTGTCTGCCTTTTTTCAGGGTTCTTTTTTGGGCTAACATTCTGCCAGCCAAATATCAGTATTTCYCTTGCTATAGTGCAGTTTAAAAATGTATTTTTGCACTGGTATGAAAATGGTAAGCACCACTGTCCTCCACTTCATGTTAAGGACTGAAAATGCCCAGTACAATTTTAGGAACTCTTCCCTTCCCTGCTCTGAAAGCTACACCTGACCTTGTAAATCCTAGGCACTGTGTAAGGAAAATCTTGTCTTTTAACCTCTTGCTTTCTAACTAYTCCAAATATTTCTTTCAGGAAAGACAAGGAACTGACAATTTAGTATGGAACATTTTGCAAAGACAGACCATGGAAGAAACTGCACAGCAAATAGGGACAATTTGTGCAGTTGTATTCCCAGCTGCTCACCAACCTGCCAAAAGATAGGAAGAAACAGAAATGGGACCGAAAAGARTTTGCAGGAGAAAGGGAGAAGAAGGAACAAGGCAGCTGAAGGTAAGCACGAGAGGAGAAGTGAGGGAAAAGCAGAAGGAACATTGTGATGGTCAACACCAAAGGGGTCAGAGACCCTGMGTGTGGTGACTGAGAAACTTTGGGAGTTAGCTGTGCAAAAATCTAGTGAACGGGATGTTTCATTTACTGTGGTAGTTACCTAACATTTACCCATTTTACAGACAGAGTCTCCAGAGGCTACAGCACGGAGATAAATGCAAAAGGCATAGACTGAAGTGAACTTAGCCAAGMAGTAAAAAACACAGCACAAACCAACACCCGAGCAAGTCATTACCTCTCTGTTTCCAACCTACAAGAGGTGGGGTAAGGCAAAGTCAAATGCATTAAACAGATAAAAGTAGGAGGGAGAAATTCATAAGCTAGGCTAACCAGTTTGAACCATACATATTTGAATAACATGCTAAACCATTTTTTTAAAGAAGGAAACTATTATTAAGCTTTAAAGGCAATCTACAAATACAATAAAAATGAGATGCAAAACATTCCCAAGAGTAACTGCAGATAATTTCAACAGCTGGTGACACTAAAGTGAGCTGCATTCATTCTTGTACCACTGAGAGTACTGCAGGCAAAAAAAAAACTAAATACAAAGAAGATAAAAACATACATAGGGATTAGCAAACTGATGCCTTTAACACTTTGCTCCTGTGATCTTTATTATTATGGGTATTTTGTACAACATAYGGCCTTGTATTGTCAGGTTAAAAATCAAGCTTTGTTTAGAAACCTCCCCAGTTTTATGTTTTCTTCGGTTTCATCTCTGATCCTACTTTGCTCTCCTGCACTAAAGAAACCACCACTCGTCCAATAYTGAGTCAAAATCAGCAGTCATTCCTGGGTATTACTTACTGTCACTTGGCTCATGGTGGCTGTTTTGTCACCTCCTGGTCTCGGATCCCACAGAGGAATACTGGCAGTATAGAAGCTGTAGCTCTATAAAAAGTGTCATCTTAATATCAGAGGAGGAGCTAGGCATAAGGGGTTGGCTTCACAAATGTAAATATTTCATAATTTATTTAGCAACGTGGCTTTTCTTTTTCCCCCAGGCAAAAMCTTTAATAAAGGAATAGGTCTACAGCAACAAAGGAAACAACAGCAAAAAACAGAGACAAGGACACGTCCTAACCCCATAAATATCAGTGGGAATTTGCCTTCATCTTCAGYGGGAACAGAACTTCAAAGACATGGSAATCACCCAGAAAACCGGAAGGGTAAAATCKGAACCCTCCACAGTCTCTGACACAAACCGTGTTTGAGGGTGGTGGTGTAGTCCCGACACRATGAAAATGTCCCCAGCAGGAGTTGTGCCACCTTGGCCTGACCACGACCTTGTCCCTGGCACTGCCAGGGTGGTGCTGAGACAGACCTCAGAGAGGCTTCATGTGTGGGCAGCTGCCTTGATAGAGAGACGGACCTCCTTTTTTCATGGCTGTACTCTCAGTGCCCAAATCAAGAAGTGATGTCCCCACTTCTACAAATTCATTTTTTACATTTCAATAGATTAAGATATTATTTTAAAGCCTGTCTCTGGCAGAATGTAAGCTCTGTCTCCTCAGTCCTGCTTTGTGTTAATAGAAGTGAGGAAGATGAAWGGTGTGGATATAAAGAATAGTTTCTTCTCTAGGAAGATTTAAGATCTCCCCGAAAGACTAAGAACATATTTTAGGTRCTCACAGCCTGCTAAATGCTGGGAATGTGGGAAAGTCAGGATGAGGGAACTCATTCCTGGGCATGCCTGCCCAGGTCTTGTTTTGGTACTGGCACCATACAGCAAAATAGAAATTAAAAGAACAGAGAACTAATTCTCTGCTAACAGCAGAATTAGTTCCCCTCTCTTCACTKTGGATGGCTCCTTATGCTTCTTCATTCTTGGGAATGCATAATATGACATGGTATCAAGTCACTGGATGATAAAGTGTGTAATGTACAACCTGGAGAGGTTGCTACACTCTTGAGTGAGTTTATTTGCTCCTCATAGTCCTATTTTAGCTCTGTGAGAAAAAGTCCTCCTCTATCCTTCATTATTTATTGGTTACCAAAATAAGTCTCACAACACAGRCTCTTTCAAATTAACCAAATCCCAAAGAATGGTAGGAAAATGTTCCATGGGAGAATGTGTACCCTAAGGCCTCTCCATTGATTTCAAATTCTGTTTCGAATGTTTCCTATGGTGTCTGCACGCCCAGACCATTGCAGCCGTATCAAGAAAGCGATGGCAAGCACTTTCAGAAAAGCCCTTTTGAAAGAGCTGTGTTTAACATATGTTTGTATGCCTGTGATCTATACAGCGATGATTTTCCACCCGTGACTGTAAAGAATTTCATGGACAACCTTTAATAAAGCCACAAATACAAGTACAAAGTACAAGTTCATGCATGTTTTCCATGCATTAAATTTCTTAAGGAATCCTATGGCTCTCCTGGAAAGCTATAAGAACGCATCAAAACCTGTGCTTTTTACAAGTCAGATCCATGTTGCATACTAAAATATACAGTTGGGGTTTTTTGTGAGAGTGAGCATTGCTCAGGACCCTGTAGGTACAGATGAACTTGGGATTTCAATACTTTTTTTTTATAAAATGCACTGTTTCTTTAATGATRAATTCCTCTGGTTTTCAGTGCCGTCATTGTTAATAACCACCATGTCTATAATCAATCTAAGAAAGGAGGAGTGAAGCATGTGGCTTGACTGCTTTGAAAATCATCTAATGATGCTATATGAGTCTCTYGGTTTAGCTTGGTAGTCCAACTGAAATGAGTGTCAGCTAGACAGACAGTACAGGAAAGGTGAAACACAGTCTTTCAGATAAGGAACTAATCTGTATTTCATGGTCCCCATCTTGTCTGGGAATATGAGCCCAGCACTTTGTGGGATCAAGTGACACTCCTAAACATAACACTGTTGAGCACAACTGGTCTGATTGGCTTAGCTGGACCAGTGTGGTAAAGGCAAAGTGAAACTGAGCAGCTTTGTGGCCCTTACCACTTTTACCATAAATGAGGTGCCTTTCCTAAGCAAGGGAAGCTCCAAGGGCTCACAGCATTTGAAACAAGTCCAGTTTAATTTAAATGTRGTACTGCATAAAGCATTACAATGAGATCAACAAAGTAAAAATGAGAAGAGCTAAAATCTTAACAAATTTATGAGTGCACTGTACAAATTAATACATATTCGTGCAAAGTATCCAGAAGAAAGAAATAAGTTTCCTCTAAAAGGATGTAGGTGTGGTTACTGCAGTTTACCAAGGAGATTAAAAAAAAAAAATCCTGTTGTTGTGTTTGAAGTAATAATTAGAGTCTGGCGTCAAGTTTGAATGATAACTATTACTTTCTTCACACAGATTTTCTAAGCTTGAGAGACCAGTTTTCAAAAGCTCTCTAGCAAAGCCATTATGTTACCAGCATTCCTTCGTCAGAAGGAACTGTAAAAGGTTGATCAGAAACACTCAGGGTGAGTCTTGTTTTTTTCAGAATCTTCTCAGGATTTGCCTTCAAAAATGAAAGTCAGCCTTTCTGACAGTAATCTTTCATAATTACAGCTGAAAATTATGCAGTTGGCAAATTCTCAACAGCCTTGGAGATTGGACCTAAAACATTCAAAGGACAAGCCTTTAAAATATTTCACACGTAGACAGCCAATATTGTCAATTAGAATACGTGCTTCTGTTCTTAAAGAAAACACCCATGCTATTTTTTTCACTGCTGATACAGGCTTGTATCTTACCGCATTGAATTTGATTTRGTTACTCCCAAAAAGAGTACTTCAGATTCCCATAGCATCCTGTCCCCAATAGCTTAATAGTGGAAAGGGTTCCAGTAAGTCTTGTACGTGTATGTGTGACACTATATAAAAAGAGAAACTTGTACCTGAAGAGCTCTGGTATTGTGAAACAAAGCCTTCAAAAGTGTTTAGCTCCCTGAAATATGATGACTCTCACATTTGATCTAGGATATGTAGGAGTGGTACAGACAAGATGTATGCCTATGGGTGGAGGGATAAARACTGTTTAATATTAACAGACCCAAACTATTTGTTTCCTTTCTTCTGTTGGTACCTTTCCAGTACACTACAGCAGGTCTGCTCCTAAATAATTTTTCTGAGTTTAATCTGTTATATTAGTCACAAGATTATCCTGGCTTCATGCTAAGCCTTTACCTRGGCTTAGTAACAAGGCTTTTCTCAAAACCTGGTGGAATGGTTTTCATCCTCAGTACATAGTTTGGTTTCTGCACACAGYCCTCTGCTATTGGAGGATAGGGAATGGATATATGCAGTGTCTTTTCCAAATCACAGTAGGTAGAAGCTTGCTTTGAGACTACACTGGAACATCYAATAGCCCCTGGAGTTTTAGGCAGTGGCTTTTAAAAATTCTTGGAAATGTAAGAAGTATGTAAAGGCCAGAGGGTTCAGGAAGCTAGCAGGAGTTTAACCAGCACCAAAACATGGGACAACAAAAAGAGTGAAGAGGGTTATCTGCTGCAGCTTGCTTTTCGAGATGAGAAAAATGGAAACAATTTATGAATGCAAACATGAAGGGGGCAGCAGTTTTAAAGAGTTTTGAACTGCAGAGTAGTGGAGTAAGTGCCTCTTCCTGAGGCAGAATAATGCCTAGAAATTCAACCAGTAGATGAGGGCACTGCTCTGACATCTTGCTGAAACAGCAGAGGTACTTGTTTTAATTTCTGCCAACAGGCTCAAAGGAATGAAAGATCCTGAGCCCAAAGGAAAGGAAATCACAGTGTCCCCCAAAGGATGGACTGCTTCCTGAAGAGAAGGGGCTAAGGACAGGCTGCTCTTCATGAAAAGCTGGAGGGGTGCCCAGAGAAACAACAGCATGTCCAATGGATGTGGTTAATCCTTGTCAGGGTGGCAGGCGGTTCCTAGGACTACTGAGCAAAACACAGCTGAAAGAACAAACCTTTTTAAAATATTAGTCTCAGCCTGGATAAAAGCCTGGAAAATTATATATTTGGTTGGTAAAAAAAGAGATCTGGAATGACATGCTGAAAATTCTCAACAAAGACCTGCAAAGACACTACAATAATCTGAGCAGTATATTCTACTTAAGCTTTAAAAAAGGTACAACATAATTTGGTCTTGATAAATAACTTTTGAGCAGGATCCAGAGCAGTTTTGTTGGGATCTCCAGCAATGCTATCACTCCATCTCTAAATGACTTTGTGGTTAGCATCATATCAACAATATCAACCCTGCAGGTTGTGTAACAAGCTAATGATGCAACAGTGAAGGATGAAGGTGGAGGTGCTGGTAGGATGACAAAGTCCCACCACACATATACAGTAAGAAATACTTGAGGTTARGTGAGGCTGCAGTCAAACACAAAACATTAAAACTGCTGTTTATTAAAAAACACAGAASCAATTAAACTGAATTTATATAAAATATCTAATTAACATATTAGAAAGCCTGATGTGACCTGGGTGATCTTCTAGTCTGATTTCAGCCATAATGGAGAGCAGATTTTCCTGAACTCATCCCTGTCCGAACTAGATTGTATCATTATAAGGGGTACATATATCTCTTGATATAAATATCAAGTGAAAATKTACCCTAATTCTTGGGAACCCACTCAATATTTAATTATGGATAACTATAAACTAAGATTGCAAGTCTTGTATCTTTGTCTGCCAGAGCTAAGGCATGGATTTTAAAATGAGTATTTACAACATGAATGGTACATAAAGGGGACCCATTAAATTTCTCTTTGATAAGCTAAATGGGTAGAACTCCTTGAGCCCCACATTAGAAGGGAGAGTATTCTTCAACCATGTCTCATCTCTGTTCTATGAAATCCTTCTAATTTTATATCGGTCTTTTTGAATTTAGGACCCAAACCCCAGATAACATTCCACCTTTCTCTGCATTGGTGCCGTAATAAATAAACTTCTTTATCATTTCTCAGTATTCACTTGCTTGGACAATAAGAGGTATTTTCCCCATTCTGGTCACCATGTCAGAGATGTAGCAACTGTGATCTGATAGTCACATCTCCCTTCCAGGGACTCTGCTTCCCAGCAAAGGACTTCCTRTGAGATTAGCTGGGCCCTTGTTCTTTCTAGAATATATTGTCTGCTTATTTATTTGTATAAGGCAAAAATGCTTTCACATTATTTTTGTAGAATAAGGTACAAAGGGATCTATCAGAGGTTACCACAAAGTATTTATGAAAGAGGAGACTGAGGACAGGACGCATGTCCTAAATCTCATACTGGCATTACAGTGAAGCTGAATGACAAAGGCCATGGTCAGGTGCATTGTCAGCTGATGGATACAATCCTGCAATAAGATTGAATGCTGTCATTTCTTTCCAGATATATCTAAAAGTCTCCTAGTGAAATAAAAAAACAGGCTTGAACCATTGAASCTAACTCTCTACTGCCAAAAGTAACCGTGCTGTGCCTTCTCTTTCATAAATAATTCCATGCAAACTTAGGGAAAATGGGAGGAAAATATGATCAATTTTGAAATATAGACAAAGGAAATATTATTTTATCTAATTTTTCCTTGTCAATTTCTACAGTAACTTCTACTGAAATGGTGCTTTTGATTCTGTCCTCTGTCTCCTACTGCAGAGAACAGAGACTGTCTCCAGCATCCATCTGCTTTGGGTAAAGCACCAAACTTGTTGAACCATGGCAACCAAGCAGAAGAGATCCCATGACAAAAGGTCCAATGTAAGACCAGATTTCACAATGAGTTTCATTTCTTGGTTCAGTCAAACCCTGTGCACCAGACAGGATTGGATCTGACAAGCTTCCACTGTAAAAGGATACAAAAGAGGCTGAAATCTAGGCCACAGTTAGAAATTATTCTTAGGAAGCTCTGTGGATTTCCTGGAGGGCAAGGTGTGGCTCTGTGCGTGGGAGGTGAACGCCAGTGTTTTTCTGTTACCAGTAATTAGGTGCAGCTTGAGTTTCAGTAATAAGGGCTACATATGCATGCTGGAAAAAAAAAGAGTTTATCTGACACTGGGATTATATGTTATGAGATAAATGTCTTACATTGCTTGTTATCTTTGTTATTTTGTGATTAGCACTTATAAATGTCCAAAAGCATGCTCATATTTTATCAACACATAAGAAAAAAATACAGTTACTGAGGGTTTTTAACATAAAAGAGAAAGAAATCCTGTAAATCTTCATATTATCCCACTAKTCTGTGTAATATTTTGGAACTACTTCTTGCATTGGCATTTGTTTTCATTAGCTTTAGTAATTTTGCTTTTGATATTGTTTGTGATCACTGCCAAATACAGAAATATGCTTTCCAGAAAGTTAGCCTGAGGTGAACACCCAGCATTGAAATATCAATCTTAAAAGATTTGATAAACCAATAAAGAAAGAAAATCTTATCGGAGAAGGGGCTTGGTAGCCTGAATAAAAGAACTACTGCAATTCTAATGACTATTCATCAAAATATAGCAATACAAACAGGGAAAAAAAACAACTGTAATGTAGCTAAAAATGCCTGTTAAATCATTGTAAGAGTCCATTTGCTCCACCAACAAAATCCCYATTCCTATAGTGCTCCCCACATTTATTTACATGGATGGGATTCATGTGTGCTCTTATTTGCATTTCTCAATCTCTACTTTTCATGATGCAGCCCTCCCTCAGATGATTAARTTACATTTTTCATTCCTAGCAATATTATCCTGCACTTAATTATTCTGAAAGGCACATTCTTCAAGTTAGCTCACCTTACTAAAGATTCTGGGAGCTCTGTGGGCTAATTTATTAGCATATATCACTTACTTCTGTTTCGTACTCAAGTATTATCTTACAAATTTGAAAAATAACTAKTATCTGTCACTAGCTATTTATAAATACTTCTCATTTTTAATAATGCCAAGTAAAAAATTATTCTGAYTATTTTTGCCGATTTGAAATGTACAGTGTATACTAAGAAACAAGTGTAATATAGCCAGACAATTAAATGTTTTAAATTGAGGAATATTTAAGCAATATAATTTGCTTACTCTCGATAAAATGCGTGTTGATATCACGGAGTTAAGAGTGATCTTCAAGGGGAGCAACAGTTTCACTTGACACCTTTTACTTTGTAACAAAGTAATTACCTTCTTTCAGTAGCAGCACCTACAAATTGTGTTGCAATGATTTCGGGCAAGGCAAAAATTCTTCTCCATCTGGGGGCAACTGGCATGCAGAAAAAGAAGTAAAATTATTGGCTATACCAAGTTCTGTTTGTTTCAGCTAAATTATTCCCCKACTGCACAAATATGCCTTAATATAAAATAACAGGAATTTAATAAATAAAATGAAAACATGAGGTAGCATATTCTGAAAAATATCTGCCTAGAAATGAATCATACTCTAATCTTGGATAGACTCTTTCTTTTTCCATACATGAAGGAATGTTTTATTAAGGCAGCCCAAGCTACGTGTAATTGCACTAGCAGAAAGATACAAGCATCAGTTTCTACGAAGAGAACCACACCTCTCAAGAAACACAAGTTTTTCTACATACCCACAAGGTTGATGAAATGCTGCCATTGATCTTCCCTTTTACGGGACAATTCTTTAGAAAAGGGTAGTGATCTCCTGAAGTAGCACAATGAATTCAGCAAAATATCAGGCTGGAAAAAATAGATGAGTCTTTGGTACTTTGCCATGGGTAACTATTGGATAAACTTCTCAGAAACTCTAAAAGCGTCAAAATAGAACTTTTTTGTCTATAGAATTTCCATTTAGGGAAATAATCCCGTTTTCTACACTAGACACTTGAAACTCTAGCAACCTCCATTATCTTCTTCTCATTTTTTTTCTTTAGCTAATATACAATTAATGCATTATCTAGTAGTTATTATCTACTGACTAACCAGAAGTGCTGACAGGCTTGTAGTAAATCAAACACCCAGTACTAGCCAGGCTGATCTGTCCAGATTAAGATAATGGCCAGCTGTGCCATCTTGATGAGCCCTGTGGGAAAAACTCATTGTAATGTTGGTTATAACTACATGTTTACTTCTGTGCTGACATCCATACATTAGGCAACTGTAAAGTAATTTTTTTAAAAACTCTAACAAATTGGAACTGGACATTTATATGCAGAAGACTATGGAATTTCCATCATTTTTAGGTAATACATTTGAAAGGTTTTTTTGCAAGAATACCACATAAAGTGCCTTTTTTTTCAAATCCTCTGCTTTGCATAATTCTTAGATTATTTAAATCTTGCTCAGTTGGGTTTCCAAAAGCATTGCTTCTTTTTCCTTCTCGCATGCACATCCACTCACACACATGTTTTGAGATGTTTGGCACAGACCATTTGAACCCATCACTGCTCTTTGCACAGTGTTTCAGAAAGAAGGTTCCACTATGAGCTGCTGCACTGTCAAGAAGAGCAGGAGGGGAGAGCCAGGGAACCACAGGTCTGTCAGCCTCACCTCCGTCCCCGGGATGACTCTGGAGCAAATACTGCAGGTTTACATTTCCTAAAAATTGAGGGACACAAAGGTGTCTGAGAACAGATGGTGCCATATGGCTTTGCCAAGGGCAGATCTTTGAAGGRAAGACTGGCTCAACAGAGGAGGAAGGGCAGTGCTTACTATTTACCTTGACATTAGGGAGGCCCTCAGCATGAACTCCCACAGTGTCCTTACAGTCAAATGGGTGAAATAAGGAGTGGAAAAATTAACAAAGTGGACAGATAATCAGCTTGGCTGTGCAGTGAAAAAGGTCTTGATCAGAAGTGCTAAGTCCACATAAAAAGGAGGCTGGTTGGTAATGGTGTTCCTCAGGGCCCTATACAGAATCAAAATCTCTTAATCTCCTTTTTAATGGCATTCTCAGCATGTTTAGATGTGATACCTTTTGTGGGTAGGGTGTCAGTCTTGGGAAGATAAAGCTGCTATTCAGAGGGGCCTTTGTTCTTTTTTACCAGTGTTTGCTTTCTTAAACCTAGGATATTTACACAAAAGCATGAAGATTGTGAAGAAACTCTAAAAAGCAAGAGCATTACAGAAAGAAAACTAAAAAGATTMATTTGGTCTCCTTATTTACCTATAGTAAACCAAACTCTTTTAGGCACTCCTTGTTTCTGCATTCCTCATTTKCTGGGTGGTGAACTTGATGTACCTGCAATCTGGTATCTCGAATGATTCTGAGGATGCTGACATAACTTGTGAATTTAATTGAATATAGTTGTGGTTTGGATGCATGATGCTAAATATTTGTAAAATGACYTTTGGGTGTCTTACACTGGGAATTCTAAATATGTTTGATAAATTTTGTTTTGACAATTTAATTTAATTTTCCMATCTGTAAAATTGACATCATGCCTTCTTTTCAATAAGCACCTTAATGTTTTTACACAGTTCAGATACTGAACTGTGTAAAAACAAAGAGTAAGAAAGAGCACCCAGAAAAGCATATGAAAATAATTTTGTGTTGCATTAYGGGATGAGGACAAGCATTGAGACCACATAGTAAGCTCTAGAGTTCTTCCTGAAGAGTTAGATAATACCCAACTTTATTGTACGTGATACCCATTTTATCCATTACAGAGATTGCCCTGGGTGACTGAAAACACTGAAATTAAAAGAYTGTAAACAAGATCCACTAAGGAATGCAAGCCTGAGAGTCTCAAATGAATGATCCTGAAAATTACCCACGCAGTCCTGCACAGGTACCTTGTAATTTCATGTTGCTCCCCTATGAAATGCACCCCTGCAGAAACAGCTCAGGATATGCCTAAGTCTGGGAACAGTGTGGAAAGAGCTCAGCAGTTTAGCATTTATTTTGCATTTACGTCAAGCAGTGTAAACAAGACTTTTCTACAGCAGAGGCCCCAGATGGCTTGGAGTAATAGATACCATGCACCATGGTCTTAGGCTCTCTACAAAACACAGTTGCAGGATTTCTCTCAGAAAGTGATGGTGTGGGTGTCCATCTTTCATAGGACTGCATGTTGTGGTGAGCCCATGCTCAGCTTGTTCCTTAGCTGAAGAGAGATGGACCCAAAGACAGATTCTCCTGCCAACAGAGCATCTCCCACCACTCTGACTATTCCACCCTGCTGAGACCACATTGTCCATTCTTCACTGTGCAAAAAGCCCCAAGAGAGCATCAGGCCAGGAGTGTAGAAGGAAGCAGACTTTTAGCCCAGGGATGAGGGCACACACACAGGGAAACTGGCGCTGGTTACAATCCATTCTAACTTGTTTTCTGCTGTGTAACTTTTTAAAGTCAACTACAGGGAGAATACTGTGACCTGGCCAGGAGTTGAATCTTCCTTCCTTTCAGGGGAGAGTGCCTCAGCCTACCTATTTGGTCCAGCATTATCTGGATCTTATTTGATACACAGCAGTAGCTTTGACTGGAAGAATGAAGACAATTCTCACCTCAGAAAAACCTGCAGGCTTGTGGTTTCACTGTTCCATTGACAGGCCAGATGATAATCTCCAGAGGCTGGAAAATCCCATCTTCCRTATCCTTCTTTAAATTTTCAATGACAAGTTAAGCAAAGCCACGATCACCAACTTGGCTACACAGTGCATGATATTAGGCAGTCCCTGGGAACACCTACAGAGAGAAGCTGTGAGCAGGAGCATGAGGGGCCTGCTAAGGATTGAGACGTGATCAAAGCTGTACAACTGCTCTGCAGTCTTGAGGCTGAGGTGCTTACAGGCACAGCAAAACCAGACCTTTGGGGTACCACCTCATTATCTACACGGCACTGTGAAGGGAAAGAGAACCAATTTTGAATGCAAGAACAAGGAGAGTGTGCTCACCTTCGCTGAGGACTGCTGCTGCCCATTGGTGATTATCTGTTTTAACAACAACCACAAAGAATTCTGGCCCACTGATTCAGAGGGGAATTGCTTTGCCATGTTAACAAGGCAGTGTAACTACAGTCAAAATTAATCCATTTAAAGCTYTTTGGTTTCTTTTTCAAGTGAAAAACAGCATTCKGTAGGAAGGAAGAAAGAAARAAAGAAGCCTAGCTCTCTTCTGACATAGACTGGTTTGGAGCATTGCATTTTCTGAAGCACTTTGTTCAGTATAAGGAATGTTGAAGACAAGTAGTATACCCTCTTGAACTTCAGGCAATGAAATTAAGAAAAACAAAACAGGAAAACAGAAATATGCTGGTTATTATATAAAAACAAATGAAACCCAAACCCAWCAACAAAAAAACAAACCAACAATAAAAGAGAAACAAGAAAACCCCACACCCCCCAAACAGTTCTCTAATAAATTATTGAATCCAGGGGTACCTTACCCTCTTTTCTAACCTCTTTCTGTGTTTTCTAACTTAATTTCCTTTTCTCAGATAAACTTTTGTCCTTTCAACTGAACCACAAAATATTTTTTCAATTGTTTGAAATGACAGGACAGAAAAAACCTAAACAGTGTTCTACTGATATGACTCAAAATGATGCCTCACTATTGAGGTGGGTCAATTTACAGAAAATTTTCCTCCAAAATTTCTGAGATGGGATGAATGTYTTCATCCATTGCTATTCACTAGAGAATTTTCTTGTTGAGGGTTTTGGGATGGCGGAGGAGAGTTGTTTGTGGGGTTYTTTTTTCAGTTGTTTTGTTTTTAACCAAGCAGCTTCTTCCACAAGATGGTTTCTTGACAATGCTRCTTACRTTGTAAAATAAGAGTATCCTGGTTWAAATGTTATTTGCACAGAACAGAGTCCATAGCTCAAACAAGAAAAATACCTTGAAGTTTCTGTGAAAAAAAAAATAGAGTAATACTATGTGTGCATGCATTAGTTGGGCTTTCTATTGAAGTTATAATTGTAGCTTGTCAGTGATCTCTACCAAGTCCACAATGTGTTTCTGGTGTCTTTTTGTTGTCCCTCCCCTGCCCTAGGAAGTTCTTRTATGATTGTGTATCATTATTTTGTTCCTGTGAGTCCTTGGAAGAAAGGTATTTGAATAATTTTAGGAGGTTGTCATCCCTCTTGCTGGGAGGGAGAAAGATAATGTGTTTTWTTCCACATGTAAGCACGTAGTGATCCCAACAAAAGCAGCATTGCAAATTGAAATTACAAACAACACAGGATTTCCTCTCTGCTCTGCTAATAGCAGTAATGAAAATCTCTGCTAATGATTTTGAGAGATACCCTTGCAATCTCTGACATCTGCATCAGCTTGAGAGATAAAGTTACAGTAAGTCCTTGGTTAAAATATACTCAACAAAATCCTCCAAACCTCAATTACCATGGAAACTACTTATCCTTAAGGCAGTAAGGATAGTTGAAATATTTTTCTTGGCAAAAATGGGAATGAGGCCAGAAATAWATGGGATTGTGCATAATGAGGCCTTTGATCTTTCATTTACATCTGTGTTAAGCAGAAGTAATCTCAGTGAGGCAAGTTGAGTTGAAGAACAAAATGTGTTTATAGGACAGAACAAGGTTTAAGATGTTGTCTAGTTCTGGTTATTTATAGATATTTTTCCATTATCTTCATATGCTTATGTTAACAGATTTCTTTTTTCCTTTTCTACTAAGAGAAACACACTAAGGACAAATACTATTTGTATATAAAGCTAGTACACATCAAGCTTTGAAAAAATGCTTGGGACAAATGGAACTAATCAGTCCCATCAGAATTTTGCAGTCTGAGATTAAAAATGCCTTTCATTTAGTCCAGGTCCCCCAAAATCCCTGAGTACTCAATTTCTATAAAACATAGTGTAGTCTTTGCTGTACAGGAACATTTGCACACCTCTAAGCATGAAAATCAACTCAGGAATAAAAACCTAATTTCTGGCTTTATGTAA